TATTTATTTATTTATTTTTATGTGGTGCTGAGGATTGATCCTAGTGCCTCACACTTGCCAGGCAAGCTCTCTACCACTGTTTATTAAAGTGGGTATAGGGCTGCAGATATAACCCCAGCCCTAAAGACAATATTTCTTTTTTTTTTATTTTATTTTATTTATTTTTTATTAGCTACCATGACATTACAATGATCTGGCAATTCATACATTTGAAGACCATATTTCTTAATGCAGCATACAAACAAGACCCAATCTGATCTGGTTCTTGCTTACCTTTCCACTGTAGATGTTCTATTAATGATCTCTTCCATGCCTGTAGCTCTAACACATAGCTCTGTTGATAATTCTTGTTTTGTTTTTTGTAGTACTGGAGATTGAACCCAGGGGCACTGTACCATTGAGCCACTGAGCTACCTCCTCAGTCCTTATTTTGAGATAGGGTCTTGCTAAGTTTCCAAGGCTGACCTTGAACTTGGAATCCTCCTGCCTCTGCCCTCTAAGTAACCTGGAGTACAGGCATGCATTACCTCACAGGGACTGGTAACTTAAGTTCATGCCTTTAGCCCAGCTTCCCCAGTGGGCTACAAACCTGAATCTTGTTACCTAGGCACTATAAACTCCACCTGGTGTATGCTCTTTATATGGTAATTGGGATTAGACCCAGGACTTTCTGTTTTTTTGTTTTGTTTTGTTTCTGTGGTGCTGGGGATTGAACCTGGGGCATTGTGCATGCAAGGCAAGCACTCTGCCAACTGAGCTGTATCCTCAGCCCTCCATCTGGTGTAATAGAGGGAAAAACTGAATTTGGAGCCAGAAAACTCATTCGAATACCTACTTTCCTTTGTGACTTTGTGCAAGTCACTTCACCCAAATTTTTTTACTCCTATATATAGTGGAAATAATTATATAAATAATTCAAACGCTGGCCAGGAGCAGTGGCATACCTATGATCCTAATGCCTTAGGAAGGCAGAGGCAGGAGGATCGTGAGTTCAAAGTCAGCCTCAGCTACTTAGTAAGGCCCTAAGCAACTCAGTGAGATCCTGACTCTAAATAAAATACAATAAAGGGCTAGGGATGTGGCTCAGTGGTTAAGTGCCCCTGGGTTCAATCCCTAGTACCAATAATAAAAATAATACAAACTGTGTTGCTCAGCCTTGGAAGATTGGATAAGTTAATATATACTATAGAACTTTGTATTACTATAATATAGTATGCAAACGTTTTTTCAAAAATTTTTCCTTTTGCTGTGTTACCATTTAGTTAATGACATTCATCAGTTACTAGGCCAGAGTATCAGATTGTTGGAGTTCATATCTGACATTTATTACTAGTGTAAAATAATTGGAAAGTTACTTTACCACTCTGTCTCATTTTCTGTATCTATAAAATGAGGATAATGGAATCTTCTAAGTTGTTAGTAAGATTACCTGAGTTAATGCATGTAAAATACTTTGTAACAGTGTCTAGTATTTAATAAGCAGTGAATCAATGTGAACTTCTATTATTAAGTTAGTATTAGAATCCGTCTTTCTTATAAGTATGAAAGTGATCAAAGACTGTACTAGTATAGTTTGTTGTGATGTTTCTGTCTCCTCTATGTGATAATGATTTTCTATAGGGCAGAGACCATGTTTAATGCATCTTTGTGTTCCTGTGCCTCTTATATTTTGATATTCAGCAAGTTTCAGTGTTTATTAAACCCTCAGAGTTATGGAAAGTCAATATATATAGAATTTCTGATTGAATTTCTCTTTCCTTTTCATAGGAAAAAGGTCACCAGTCAGAACAGCAAAAAAGAAGGTAGCTCTTGAAGATAAAAGTTAAAAAGAGACTTTGTAAAAGACTAACCCAGAAATATAATTATATGATATCAGCATGAATGGTGTTTTCTTGGAATACTTCAAGTTTTAATATCACCTCTACCAAACATTTGAAATCAACTACAACTACATGTGACTGAAAAATGATCATAAACTATCAATGCAGTTTTAATTTTAATTTGTAGGTTAAAATCACACAATGAATGTAACATTCATTGTTATTTTTGTGGTTTGAATCCAGAGAGATACTTCTTATAGAAGAACAAAAGTTTATGCTAAAAAATAACATCCAAATGTGGTGAACTCTTACGGATTTTTCCCTTCAAGTTTGAAGGAAAGTGTGATGTATGCTATAAAGAGGCATCTGGAATTAAATTTTAAAATAAAGCCTTGAGATTGAATGCCCCTTCCACATGCTTTTTTGGGGGACTGGGGGTGGGGTGGATGGGAGGCAGCACAGATTATCTACCAAAAAGAAAACTATTGTTCTATTAATATTAATTTTTTTAAAAATGCTTTTAGTTGTAGATGGCACAATACTTTTATTTTATTTGCTTATATTTATATGGTGCTGAGGATCAAACCCAGTGCCTCACACATTGTAGGCAAGTGCTCTACCACTGAGCTACAACCCTAGCCCCAATATTTCTCAGTTTCTTGATGATCTTTTGTGATGTGGGTCACACTAAAGAGATGCTTATTCTGTGGCTGGTTATTCAAGTTTCTTAGGATTTGAAGTTGTGCTCAGTTTAAGTACCCTTAGTATTCTTACACCTCATTAGTAAGGTAGCTTATATTTAGCTGTTGTAATGTTGCAATGGCAAGATTATGATCAGCCTCTCCCTTTAATTCATTCTCCATCATTTAATCATGCTCTTTTCCATTTAATATCGGTTTGCTTGAACCCATTAAGTTTATCCCAATAAGGAAGAATGTTGTTACTTGATATGCTCTGGTTTCATTCTCCTACAGCTTATCTTTCCTGAGGCCTGATGCCCCTTCATATATTGAGTAAGCAAGTCTCTGTCAGAGATAAAGGATCATGATCACATAGTGAATGAGGCTATTTGCTATGAGCAGATATTTTTCAATAACTAGTTTTTTTGTACAGTGGAATTAAAAAAAACCCCACAAGTATGGCACTTAGAGTGACATCTTAGAATGACTTGGTTATAAAAAGTTATCAGCAACTTTTAAATTTACTCATTCAGCCTTTTATTCTAGAGTCAACACAGGTTAACGCCGTCTTGAATGTTTTACATGGGGCAGAATTATTCATTGGAATTTATTTAAATGGGACCTATTGCCACAGGATGCAAAAAATACTGATAGCATATTATTTTATGTTTGTTTGTTCTTGCAAAGAGGTCCTGATTCTATATTCTGAAGGTAGGTGTGTTGGTCCAAAGCCATTTGTGAACTGTATGACTTTGAATGTTTTTTCTTAGAGCTTCAATTTTTTTCATTTATGAAACTCTATGTCTCAAGACATACAGTTAAACTCATAACTAATATACCTTCAGCAAACATTAAGATTGGCTGCATAGCACAATCCCTGCTCTTAAAATTACTGAAGGAGATAAGTGAAAGAACAAATAGTGTGGCAAATGCTTTGTTAGATGTAAGGCCATGATGCTGAAGCATAATCAGGGGCCATCTAACCCAGATTGGGAATGCCTTGGAAGGCTGGCATCTGAGTTGAGTCCTGCAGATTCAGAAATTAATAGGCAGTGAAGAGGAACAAAGTGTACCAGACACAGAGATCACATCTGCAATCCTCGATCTATACTCATTTTTAAGTATACCCTCCTTTGCAAACATCCAGTCCACAAAGTGTCTTTAGAAATCTGTATCAAATTGGTTTGTTGATAGATTAATACTGGATTTTAACTCCTTTATATCAGTTGGAGCTATCTGCTACATAAATTTCACCATTGTCCAAGGAAGGGGAGGAGTGAAATTTAGTGAAAAGACAATACATAAAAATTGAATAGCTGCCCCTAGTTAAAAGCAGCAAGGACTGGAATCAAACTGACCTGGGTTTGAATTCTGGTCATACTGCTATAGCTGTATGATCAGGGTATGTTAACTTTTTAAAATAATTTTTTTTTCCACAGGTACACCGGACTTGTAAATGCACCTAAAGTTCCTGACTAGTGGTTTGTGCCCAATAAATCTATTACTCAAGGGCTTAAAAACTTTACAGATTAGTAGTTTGTTTAGGGAGGGGGAAATGACAGGAAAAACATTCCCAAATATATTTAGAGCAATTAACTGCTTTCCAAACACCATTGCTGCCTCTGCCTGCAAGAATGGGGTGGAGGTCAGGAGGGCACTACTAAGTGGCACCATGGTAGACTCAAATACAAGACTTGTGCACCTTGGAGGTTTTTTATGTGGATTGGTTTTGGTTTTTTATTTGTGCTTTTGGTTTTTTACTAAAGTAAATTTTAAATACATTAGGTGTCTCGAATGCTGAAAGGAAACTGCTGAGTATCAGGGAGAGAGAGCTCATCAGTGGTCAGCACTGTGAAGCTATCAAAGGGCCAGCCGGGATTCATCCACTCTTTTACTTTATGTGGTGCTGAGGCATGCTAGGCGAGCGCTCTACCTCTGAGCCGCAACCCCAGCCCTCCATATATTCTTCTTTTTTTTTTTTTTTTTATATTTTTTTAGTTTTTGGTGGACACAATATCTTTATTTTACTTTATGAGTTGCTGAGGATCGAGCCCGGTACCTCATGCGTGCCCTCCTTCATCTATTCTTTATGTGCAAAGTAACAATGAAATCCGTGTACCTATCATCCAGTTTCAGAATTACGATTCGACCTGCTTTCCACTAATGGAATTGCAGGTTAGCAAACGCGAAAGACCGAGTCAGCTGGGCCCTAGCTGCCGGCCTCCCGGAGGATGAATCAGCTCCCTCGGAGGGGAGCCCGGCCTGCCCAGAGCCAGCTTTGCACCTGGAGGCCTCCCGGCGGCGCCAGGCCAAGTGACGAGGGCTGCCACACCTCCCCGAGGGCGGGCGGGGGAAGGGGGTGTCACGCGGCCCCGCCTCGTCGCCAGGCCGCGGCGAGGTGGGGCCTGGCGTTTGCCCCGGAAGTGGCTGTCTTGAGCTGACAGCTGCTGGCACGGCGGCGGCCCCGGAGCAAGATGGCGCTGCGGCCGGGAGCCGGAGCTGGCGGCGGCGGGACCGCGGGACCTGGCGCGGGGGCCGCCGGGGGAGGCAGGTGGGTGTGAAGAGCTGGGTGGGGGCCGACGGGCACCCCACAGACCGCCGCCCAGCGGTGCTGGCCTCGCCGGAGCGAGGAGTGCTTGGCGGTTATGGCGGTTTTCGCCAGCTCCGACCCCTTTCCTTTCTGCTGGGCTGCGGGAAAAGGGTCGTCTCCAGGGACGCGGCGCCTGGCGCTAGTGTCCCAGGCTCAGGGGCATCGCAGCCTGGGACATCGCGGGAGAGCGAGCGCGAGCTCGGGTGCGGGGAGGGGAGGCAGAGAAAGGAAGGGTCCGCTCGGCGGGTTGGGCCACCAGGAACCCCGACTCCTCGCCTCCAGTCCCTCTGCATCTGAAGCGACCGGGGTCTTCCCTTTTACAGGGCTTTCCTGGGCTGACCAAGATGTTGTAGGGCAGGCTTTGAAAAATCTGAACACAAAGCTGTTGCCGAGAGTGTGTGTTTTCCATTTGTCTTTTCTCCCTTTACTGTGTCTTGTCCTCCTTTTTGTTTATTTTCTTGACACACGACAATCAGGAAAATCTGAAGACCTTTGAATTAGTGATTGGCTTGAAATAGTGCTCTTGAAGATTAACTATAAGACTCATGTGTCTCCTTTTCAAAAAGGCATTTATAAACAAAATTCATTGTTAAACAGCAGTTATGCATTTATTAGAACAAAGCTTCCAGACTTTGACTTAGCCCTTTAAAAATCTGTCTATTGTCATGTTTCAGGTAATAGATGGCTGCAGTTCTTATACCCAGAACTGTAAGGGGAGAGGTACAATTACCTGGTCTGAGTTAGTTTTATTAACTAACACATTACTACACACACGTTTGTAAGTAAAATTAGCTTTTTATCTTTAATAACCTAAATTGTCTTGGAAAATAAAGTATTCGGTTTTTACATATAGTTTGTGAAGTCATGAACACTACAAAGTGAGGCCTTTTAATATTATCCCCTCTTGCAGGTGCTTACTGTATGCTAGGGGGGAAAAGCAGTCTCTGATGAAACCACCTGTGTGCAGCCCCATTTTTCATTTCCTCTGCAGACATCTTTGACTTCAAATATAAAACTTTTTGCTTCTTCTTTTGTTTTCTTCTTTGTTTCATTAGAGCTTTTTGTGAATACTTGGTATAAATCAAGTTCTAAAGAAAAATTTAATCTATTTATTTTTATGTATGATGACAGTTTCTAAAATGTTTGTGACATTAATTTGACCAGCTCTAACATTAGTCTCCTTTTGATTGGTATCCTGAAAGGATGACTTTAGAATAAATGGTAGATAATTTATAAAGGGCAAAATTTGCCCAAGACTTGAGAAGTATAATTTTTTTTTTTTTAATCAAGAAAGGCAGCAAAAAGGCAGTATATGATTAATAGCACCAAGTTCTGGAAAATATCAAAAGAATTTCATGTTCTAGGCCTAAATATTTATTTTTATTTTTTTGCCAGGGGGGGGAAGTGGTACTAGATATTAAATCCAGGTGTACTTAACCACTGATCCACATCCCCAGCCCTTTTTATTTTTTATTTTGGGCCAGGGTCTCGAGGCTGACTTTGAACTTGTGATTCTGCTGCCTCAGTCTTCCTAGTTGCTGGGATTGCAGGTGTGCACCACCGTATCTGGCCCAAATTTCAGTTTTTAAAAAAATTATTTGGAAAGGATCTCATGTGCAGGAAGTTAAGAGGATTATTTTGTTTTGTTGTTGTGTTTTTAATTTTGGTTTATAGTATTTTAATATCATTGATCCAAGGATACAGATCTTTTTTTTTTTAACTGTGGCCTGAATTTTGATAGAAATTAGAATGACTCATTTAAAAAAATATACTGTACTGTAAACATAGTAATGTCTGCATTCTCAAAAACTCTATGGCAAGTTTGCTACATATATTGGAAACTTTCTGAATCGAGAAGCTATGTGCTCAGTAAAGAACATTATGTTTTTTTAGAGGGCAATGGTAAGGGGCATACCTAACTATGTTTTATGAAAAAGAAACAAGCAACCTCTCTAAACCCCTCCCCTTGTCCCCCTAAGATTTTAATGGGGAATATTTATGAATTAGAAACGATCATATTTCTTAGAATGTCTCTCTATTCCAAAAACCTAAGTAAAAACCAGTGGCATTTTCCAACTTTAACAATCATCTGCTTTTGATCGGTATCCTGAAAGGATGACTTTAGAATAAATGGTAGATAATGTATAAAGGGCAAAATTTACCCAAGAATGGAGAAGTATAGTGTTTTTTTTTTTGTTGTTGTTTTTTTTTTTTTTAATGAAGTAAGGCAGCAAAAGAGTTGAAGATCTGGATTAGTGTAATTGTTCAACTGCTAGTCATTGAATACCTATGTGTGTAAGGTACTGGTTTTGATGAATTTAAAAGATATCCAAGACAAGGTTCCTATCCTAGGAAAGTATATAAAATAATTGTAGCACTAAGGAAAGGAAAACAAAGAGATCACATCCTTTGGGGATATTCTAATTTGTGAGCTCTTCTGTTTTTTCCTGGTCTTGTATACTCTTTGAGGGCTTACATTCTATCTTCCACCATTTCTGGCCCATTTGGGCACATAAAAATTTTTTTGGTAAATATTTGAGGATTCCACCTGTATTGAAAATAAAGCTGTTTTGTTTCAGCTGCGCCTCTCAGTTGGAGAAAGAGGAAGGGATCAAGAGATTAACACTTACAGAACAATGTGAACAACACTCCTGCAGTGCCAGATGGGCTGTGGTCCTGAGTGGAGAGAAGAATTTTGTGAAAGAAAACTGCAAAAGAGAAGTTGTGCTCAAACTGGAGAAGGCCTTGAAGCTAAACTAAGGGAATTCAGTTTTCCCAGGCAATCATTACATAGTTTTAACCCCAGATGTGCATCTTCCTAAAGGAGTCATTATTAAATGGTCCATTAGGAATACACATCTCTCCTGTGCTGCGTTAGATGAATTAGAAACCACAAAGTCTGGAGGTGTGGCAATCCATTAGGAAATCTTAAGGAGTCCAGGCCTGAGAAATGAGGATAGGAGGGAATCTAGGTTACCAACAGAGGTATCCGAAAGAAAAGGAAAGATGAAGGAGATAGGAATGAGACAAAACTCACAGGTCTCTTTCCCACTGGGACATTAGCAATACATGAATTAGTGCTTTTACCTTGGAAATCAAATTGTAGGTCATCCTGCTCCCTAGTTTTTTGCCAAGCTTTTGCTGAATTATAGTCTTACTTAGCTGCTGGCTTATCCAGTCTTTATGCATATTGACATTAGAGTATATAGTCTATATTAGATAAAGATTCAGAAAATCATGTGAATGGCACATGGATCTTGAGGCAGTTCAGTTTGCTAAGTTTTTACTAAAATAAGACACTATCAGTAGCGCTCTTAAATTTGTTTTTATCTCTGTTTTATTTTTTGAAATAACCTTTATGCATCGGTAGGTAACATTATTATCTGTGTGCTTGTCATAGTTGGAACTTTGGCAGACTTTCAGTTCTGTGTCCTCTTCTGACAGAGGGGAAGGCAGATAGTGGTGAAGGGATTGCACAGAGCTTAACAATTACCTTATGGCAGAGCCAGAAGAAAAAGGAGAATAACTCAAGTGTGTCCAGTATTTACTGAGCCACTAAGCCACACTGGTAATTTTATCTTTAAAGATAATTTTGAAAAATTTTTGACAGTTTGATTACTTAAATGCACTCATTGTGCCCAAATTTTATCAATCTTAGTATATGAGTGATTTCTCTAAAAACAGAGTACCACTATATTTCACCTTCAGTTTAAACCTTTTATCCATTTAGCACATTATTTAGCTATTATAGTTCAAAAAAGCTATTCATTCTTCAGGCCTCGCTCAGCTCAGGCCTGCTTGTAAGCAGCAGAATTTGCTTATGATCCCAATGATCTACAAGGCTGTAAGTAACAACTAGATGGATGCCTAGCTAGCAGTCATATTACGCATCTTTCCACAGTCTTAAACAGAGTTTAGTTTATAACCTTTTTCTTGGGGAAGAGGGCTTTATAATAGCAAAGTGCAAGGGTTAATAAATTTGACATGTCCCAATCCTGGATTTCACTAGATTCTCTAAAGACTATCTAGAAATTGCTTCTTCAGAGTTGTGACTCCAAAATTAAGAACTTTTCCCACTCAAGAGTTTCTCTTCTTTGTTTTTTCCTCTAATCTCAAAGAATGAAGTGCCCCTTCCTTTTCAAAGCAGACCTCTTTTGCTGCCTTGCTATGTTAATTCCATTCCTTCGGAAACCTTGTTTTACAATCGCTAAGTATATCTTTTTGTCTTCTCAGCAATGTCTTCCTTTTCCTTTATTAAAACTGCCCAAAGATGATCATTTTCAAAGCAGTGATTTTTTTTCTTTTTCTTAATCCTCATTCTGACCACCTTTTTTATAATACTAAACATTGGTAGCTACTTTCTTCTGAAATACGGTTCTTCCTCAGTTATAAGCAGCTCCTTTGATTCTCAGTGACCATTCCCTTCTCAGTTTTCACTGTGAGAATTCTCCCAAGATTGTCATTAATTGTCATCTTCTCACTAGGTAGGAACATTTCAATTGCAGTCAGATTTTGCTGTTGTTTTTAATCTTCATTTGAAAAATCCTCCTTAGACTTATCTGGATCATTCTCCTGAGCCTGAGTTACTTTTCTGATTGCTAGCTAGATTGCTCCTTGTGAAGGCATTCCTCCCACCTTTCTCCCCAAATCTACCCATGACAGGTTCCTGTTTCCAGCAAACAGCATCCTCATCCTTGCAGTTTCCTAGACTCACTCGGTGTCTCAGCAGCATCTGCTCCCTCTCCTTTTCCAATGCTGTTCTCTGTCCTGGTAGCTGCCAGATCCTGTTGATTCTTCCTTTTAAATATCTTTTACTCTCTACTTCTTTCCTATCCCTGCTACTTTAATTATGAACCTTTCCATCTCTTATTATAATGGAAATTGGGCACAGTGGTGTGCTCTTGTGATCCCAGCTACTTAGGAGGCTAAAATGGGAGGATCACTTGATCCAGGACTTCAAGTCCAGCCTGGGCAACACAGTTGAGACCCTGTGTGTGTGGGGGGGGAGGGGAATGGGATTCTTAGCTAATTCTTTTTACTTCTTCTCTGCCATATTCTGTTAACAGAGTAGCCTAAAGCACATTTCTGATCAATCTTCTTAAAAATCCCTGACATGGGCTTGGGGATGTGGCTCAAGCGGTAGCGGGCTCGCCTGGCATGCACGGGGTGCTGGGTTCCATCCTCAGCACCACATACAAACAAAGATGTTGTGTCCGCCAAAAACTAAAAAATAAATATAAAAAAAATCTCTGACATTAGGAAAATCACATAAAAACCACCAGTAGATACTACTTCACACCCATTAGGATGGCTCTCATGTAAAACAAAAAACAGGAAATAAGAAGTATTGTGGAGGATGTAGAGAAATTGGAACCCCATGCATTGCTGGTGAAATGATGCAGCTGCTGTGAAAAAGTTTGGTGGTTTCTCAAAAAATACATAGAGAATTATTATATGACTTAGCAATTTCACTCCTAATATGTAGCCAAAAGAATTGAAAGAGGGATTCAAAGATACTTACACATGGCAGCATTCTTCACATCAGCCAAAAGGTAGAAAGAACCTGAGTATTCATCAAGAAATCATTGGATAAATAAAATGTGCTAACTACATACGTGGTGTGTTATTTAGGCATAAAAAGGACAGAAATTTTAATAAAGTGGTACAATATAGATGAACCTTGAAAATGTTTCCCTAAGTAAAATAAACAAAAGAGCAAATATTATATGATGCCATTTATGTGTGGTGCCTGGAATTGGCAAATTCATAGAGACAAAAAGTGGAATAGTAGTTACCAGGAGTGGGCTGCGAAAGGATGAATCAGTGAGGATTCATTTTTTCAATGGGTGTGTTTCTATTTGAGAGGAAAAAAAGTTCTAGAAAAGGATAGTGGTACAACATTTAAATGCCCTTAATGCTACTGAATTATACACTTAAAAATGACTAAAATGAAGACATAACCACAAAAGAACCCACTGGAAATATATAATATTAAAATCAACATTAAACACTTTAAAGACCCTTTATAATCTGGTTGCTTTATAATCATATATTTTATATTTATTTTGAAATATATATATTATATTTTAAAATATATATATTTTATATTTATTTTATATTTTATATTTATATTATAGTTATTTTGCTGAATATCCCTGCATTTCTGGTCTCAGATCTTTTGCCCAGGCTATGTAGTGTGCCTCTCTTTCTATTTAAGATTTAGCTCAAAAGCTAATTCCATAAAACTTTCCAAGATGTAACCCATTAAAATTAATCTTTCTCTTCTCACCCCTATGAATATTTTGCTTATAGCAGTTAGCACATTTATCCAGTGATATAATTATTTGCCTGCATCAGCGTCTTCAAGATCACGAGCTATGTCAGTACTTTGTTGTAGTAGACACTCAATAAATGTTCACCAAGTTGAAACTAATCCAACCTTCTCATTTTAGGGATGGAATCCAGGGAAGTCACCAAGTGACAAAGCCAGGACTAGTTTCAGGTCTTTGTCTTTTTAAAATTTTTTCGCTCTATACTAACGTGCTGATGCTCATGCATCCTATGGAGTTTTCTTATATGTATATTAATGTTGAGCAATTCAGTATTGTGTTGCTGAACAAACACCAGGCCCTGCCTGTGATTCTTTCATTCATGTAAAGACGTTCATGTTTGTTTGAAATCTTTGTATATATGATGATTATGATGTATTTGTATTCTGTTTTCAGCTTCATGTTTCCTGTTGCAGGTGGAATAAGAGCCCCCCAAGGTATGTGAAAGCTTGAGTTTTTAACTTTTGTTTTTTGTTATTATATTTTTGAAACTAGGGATAAAATAGCAAAGTAGAAAATAAGTTGTATTGCTTCCAAATAGAGTAAAGTTTTCTTATATTATTGAACCTCTAAGATAACTTACTCTAAGATTTTTCAAAATTGTTTAAATTGGGAAGTAATAAGGAACACTCCTCATTTCTACCAAACTTACTTAATCATTATGTCAAGAGATTGATTTTTCATCTCATAGATGAAGGAGACTTCAAGGCAAGACTATTAAGAAAAGGAAATAAAATTGAAATGATCTGTAATTCTCTTAAAGATATTTTCCTCCTTCTATTTAGTTTTCTAAATAGAAGACTGTTAGTGCCATACAGTCAGAGCTACATCTGTCTTGTGTTCATCAGTATCTCCAGCACCCAATGTGCTGATAGTATGTAGTAGGTTTCCTATAGATGTTTGTTCAATGAATAAAAGAACCTCTTTAGTTCAGTATAAGATCTTGTATGTAAAAGATATATAGTTTAAAGTATTCAAGTCTCAGTTTTATTCCTAGAAATTTCTCTCCTAGATGTGCTCCCTCTGGTTTTAGAACCAGGGCCCACTAATATCAATTCTAGCTCTGTCTTCAAGGAAATAGTAGTGAAGGGATATAATCTTGACTCCTGCTGCTGTGCAACAGGGACACAACATTGAGAGATAAATGTCTCTACCCTTCTCTTCTTTCTGCTCACTTCTTCCACTCCAATATATTCCTGTTTCCATCTCTCCCATGTCAAGCTGCTTCTGAAAACTGGCTCTCCAGTGTTGACTGGTTGTGGTAGATTCGCTAGGGAAACAGAGACTTCCAGATCACCAAAAGAGATGAAAGATAAAGAGCAACTCAGTAGCAGGTGGTCAGTAGCTCATTCTGACTTTGTCTCTGTTTATAATCAGTGGTGAAGATTGAGTTACAGGTAAAATTTTCCAGGGGTCAGTTGTATTCTTTTCATTGTGTTCACATTTATACATTATTGAAGGTACCTCTATTAAAATGTGTCCCAGATTTAGATCAAATGGTTTGAGACCTTTTGTTCCTTAAGTAGGTATTACCGAGTTACGTGTTCATTATCATGTGTGGTTTATTATTTTGTATTTTCACAAACTTGCAAGTAAAAATCTATATATGGATCAAAGAAACTGAACAAGAAGAGATTCCAAAGATTTCCTGATATTTATTTCTTCTAAATTTGTAATGGTTTGGGAGGTTTTTTTGTTTTTGTTTTTTTTAAATAAAATATGTTGCAATGGGCTTTTTGATCACTCAAATACTTTAAATTATGCACAAATGGTTTTTAAAAGCACAAGAAACCAGCAGGGGTGGCTACAAGATCATGTGTACCTCAACAGAAGCTGGGAGAGAAGACTTATTTCTCACTTTTATTCTTTTAAATGTGATATCAAACACCTGAGTTACCCATTCAAAAATAAAATTAATTAAAATTCGTAAAACTTCCAGGTCAAAAGATAGGAGGAAAATATCTTACTATGACTGTATTTAATCTGTTCATTCTAATTCTCCATGACACCTCAGATCTTTGCACTCGATGTTCCTCTGTTTTGAAATATTCCTTTTAATAGCTGCATGGCTTACTCCCTTTCCTCAGGTCTTTGCTCAAATGTTACCCTGTGAACAGAGTAGGGAGGAAGAGCATGAGAAGAAGATTAACATTAAACAGGGATGAGAGGTGGGAGGGAAAGGGAGAGAGAAGGGAAATTGCATGGAAATGGAAGGAGACCCTCATGGTTATACAAAATTACATACAAGAGGAAGTGAGGGGAAAGGGGAAAAAAAAAAACAAGGGGGAGAAATGAATTACAGTAGATGGGGTAGAGAGAGAAGAGGGGAGGGGAGGGGAGGGGAGGGGGGATAGTAGAGGATAGGAAAGGCAGCAGAATACAACAGACACTAGTATGGCAATATGTAAATTAGAGGATGTGTAACCGATGTGATTCTGCAATCTGTATACGGGGTAAAAATGGGAGTTCATAACGCACTTGAATCAAAGTGTGAAATATGATATGTCATGAACTATGTAATGTTTTGAACAACCAACAATAAAAATTAAAAAAAAAAGAAAGAAAATCAAGATAGTAGGGAAAAGAGACCATTAAGTGAGCTTCTTACATATTACATATTCTTCAAACATATGCTCTCACTTTTCCAAAATGATGCAATGCGATTCTACTATAAAGGGGCTCTTTATAACTTCAGATTGAATTTCTCCAAAGAGAATTCTATGAATTTTATTTCTTAAATTATAAACAATAAATCAAAATCCCACTCCTTAAAGAAGGCTGGACAGGACAAAATGATGATATCTAGGTCCAAGAATTGTGACTAATTAACTGTGACCTTTCAGCATGCATTTCATATATTTGGGCTTTAATTGTGCAGAAAAAATAAAATGTGGTGATTCTGGGAAAAAAAATAAAAATTAAAAAAAAATGTTACCCTGTTGAGGAAACTTGTTCTGACTATTCTGTGTGAAGGAGCAGCCACTCCATTCTCTGACTCTCCTCTTCCCCCTTCCTCTGCTTTATTTTTTTCTTTAGTCTTACCACTACCTGCCTGATACATAGGTTTTTTGGATTTTTTTTATTATTATCTGTCTCCTCCAGTTACAATATAAGTTCCATGAATGTGTAGATCTGATTTGTTCATTGCTGTGTTTCTAGAATTGTGCCTGACATAGAGTAGTCCCTTAAATATCTGAATGAATGATCCACTGAATAAAGGACTACTCTGTCTCTAATAGTTATTACCTACAAATGTAGATGTTCATGCTTCTGAAATTAAGCTATGTATAAATAACTTTGGTAAACCAGACACAGTGGTGTACTCCTTTAATCTCCCTGACCCAGGAGGCTGAGACAGGAGGGTTGTAAGTTTGAGGCCAGACTCAGCAACTGAGTGAGGCCCTGTCTAAAAATAAAAATTAAAAAGGACTGGTGATGTGGCTCAATGGTAAAGCACCCCGGGTTAGATACCTAATACCAAAAGCATTAAAAATAATAATAATAATAGCAAATTGATAACCTTACTAGACCTTTACTCTTCTTAAGAATATTTTTAGAATATGGACACAATACCTTTATTTTGTTAGTTTTTTTACGTGGTGCTAGGGATTGAACCCAGTGCCTTACACATGCTAGGCAAGCACTGTACCACTGAGCCACAACCCCTTTACTTTTTAAATTGAAAATTTGGTTAAAAGAAAAAACCGGGTTGGGGGATGTGGCTCAAGTGGTAGCACACTCGCCTGGCATGCGTGAGGCACTGGGTTCGATCCTCAGCACCACATAAAAATAAAATAAAGATATTGTGTCCACCTAAAAAAAAAACTAAAAAGTATATATTTTTAAAAAATGAAAGAAAAAACCACCTAGTAGAACCAACACGACTGTATTGTGGTAAATGCAAACTTAGAGTGAAATGTATACTCAAGCTATATAGGGATTTTGTTTTGTTCAATGTTATACACCAAGCATATGTTAACTGTGCCTTAACATTAGGCATTTAGTATTTATTTAAATCCCCAAAGGGATATATTTTTATTTTCTTCTGATCTTGGAAATGCTTCATTGGAAAAGTTTGGGAGATAATAGTCTAAATCATACTTTCACAGTAGTTTTCCTGTCTCTGCCTTTAGAGTTTGCACATCAAAGGCTGTTTTGTGATAAACGTTATAATAATATCACCTAAGAAAAGGATGAACAACAAAATTTCTTTTTAAGTATTATACAGTTTTGCATATGAGAAAATAAGACATAGAAAGAATTTAAGCAAATTGCCCAAGGTCCCAAAGCTAGTAAGTGACACTTCTAGTTGGCTTCCAGAGCTTATGCTCTTAACTGTTACTGTATTAGCTATCTGCTGCTGCACAACAAATTACCTCAAAACTATGTGCCTGTAGGTTAGGAATCTGAGTAACTTTATTAGGGATTCTGGCGTGAGGCCTCTCATGAGATTGTGGTAAAGATGGCAGCCAGAACTGTAGTAGTCTGAAGGTTTCATGGAGCTGGATGATCTGTTTCCAGGATGCTCATTCACATAGGTGGCAAACGCTCACCTTCCTTTTGGCAGGAGGCCTCAGTTCAACACCACATGGATTCTCTGTAGGACAGCTTGAGCATTCCCATGACACAGTAGTAGCTTGCTTATAGGAGGAAGCTGCAGTGTCTTTTGACAACTAGCCTTGGGAGTTACATACTGCTGTTTCCACAATATCCAATTGGTTGGACTAGTTCATTGTGGGAGGGAATGATGCAAGCATATGAATACCAGGAGGTAGAAATACTACAACGAGCCCATACTGTCCATTTTTTAATATGCATACAAATTCTGTGGAACAGATATTGTTATCTTCATTATACTGATCAGGTTTTATAGGTTATACACACAACTAGGTAAATGATGGAATTGGAATTCATATTCATGTCTGTCTAATTAGGAACCTGTGCTTTTCCCACTGTACTGTGTAGTCTTCTAATTAACAAGTATTTAAGAAAATAAACTTTAAAACATCTTGACTTTAGTTTTGCCTTGGTGTTTTCCAGCAGGCCTGATGCCAATGCAGCAACAAGGATTCCCTATGGTCTCTGTCATGCAGCCTAATATGCAAGGCATGATGGGAATGAATTACAGCTCCCAAATGTCCCAAGGACCCATTGCTATGCAGGTACTTGCCTCTTTGGTTGATTATTTATAAAGTTATTGTTTTTTGTTAGATGCAAGCACACCAAGAGCTGTTTTTTTGTTTTATTGGTGCATTATAAGTATACGTAACAGTGGGATTTGTTGTCATATATTTGTACATGCACATAATATAACAATATAATTTGGCCTATATCATTTCTCACTATTTCCCCTTTCCCTCTCCTCCTCCCTCCCCTTTCTTTTACTCTGCCGATCTCTTTGATTTTTGTGAGATTCCACACATACACACTTGCTTTTCCTTTTGCCTGTCTACCCTCAACATGTGAGAGAAAACATACAACCTTGACTTTGAGTTTGGTGTGTTTTGCTCAACATAATGTTCTCAAGTTCCATCCATTTTACTGTAAATGACATAATTTCATTCGTCTTCATGGCTGTTATAATTACACATAACAGTGGGATTTGTTATAATATATTCATATATGCACACAATAAAACCATATAATTTGATCAATTTTATTTCCAATACCTCCCCTTTCCCTCCCCTCCCTTCCCCTCATCCCCTTCTTCTATTCTACTCGTCAAAGAACTGTATTTTTAAGAGCTTACCAATATATTTAGAAATAGTTAACCTTTTGGCCAGGTTTGGTGGCACACACCTATAATTCCAGCTACTCAGAAAACTGAGGCAAGAGACTAGCAAGTTCAAGGACAGCCTGGAAGACCCTCTCTTAAATAAATAAACAGGGCTGGGAATGAAGCTCAGTGATAGAACTCTTGCCCAGCATATGCAGGCCCTGGGTTCAATCCCCAGTACTGTAAAAACAAAGGTTACTTTTTTTTTTAATGTTTATGTTTTAGTTGTAAGTGGACACAATATCTTTATTTTATTTTTATGTGGTGCTGAGGATCAAACCCAGTGCCTCATGCATGATAGGCAAGCGCTCTACCTCTGAGCCACAACCCCAGCCCCAAGGTTACTTTTTTTTTTTTTAAGACAGGGTCTGAGGTCTTGCTATGTTGCCCATACTGGCCTTGAACTCCTGGGCTGAGGCCTCCTATGTCACTGGGAGTACACGCACACACCATCTTTACCCCCCATCCCCAGTGCAGGGGCCTGACAGGTCCTTAAGCATGCTTAGCAAGTACTCTAAAAATGATGAAAATGTGAATTATTGGAAGTAGCAGAATAGACTGTGGAACTGCATTTTCTGTGATCTAAGAAATAAAATCTGAAGTGAAAAATGTTGGCAGGAGACTCAAATTATAAAAACTGATAACATATTTAAAAATTTTGGAATTGAAAAATACATTAACCAAAAGAAGAGTTCTATGAATAGTTTAATAGCAAATTTAGAAATGGCTAAAGAAAGAATTAGTGAACTGACAATAGGTCAGGAGAAGCTGTCTAGAATGCAGGCAAAATGAAATCCTCTCAAGCATTCTGGGTGGAGTGGTGCACGCCTGTAATCCAGCAAGTAGGGAGGCTGAGGCAGGGGATCTCAAGTTCAAAGCCAGCCTCAGCAACTTAGTGAGACCCTAAGCAATTTAGTGAGACCTGTCTCACATCACCTGGGGATGTGATTCAGTAGTTAAGTGCCCCTGGGTTCAATCTCTGGTACCACCCCCAAGTCCTCAGATGCAGACACATCATAGAGAAACTAGGAAACCATAGTAAGAAATTGACAATTAAGGGAGTTTAGGCTGTTTTAAAAGCCATTTAGTATCAAACCTTGGATTCTAAGCTGAGCAAGAAGAAAAGTGAGGCCATGATGATGAAGATGAAGGATAGTGGGAAATGTGGGAAAATTAACAGATGGTGAGTGTTAATGAGAAGAGAATTGGTGGTTGTAGGTGAACTGAAAGGATAGGAGATGGTCAAATATTGGGCTGCTTAAAATCAAGAATTTGAAGATGATGTTATTGATGCTGATTAATCAAGGATATGATCATGAAATGGGAAAATAGAATGGTATGTTGGACATGACTGAGGTGAGGAGATCAGAGACCTGAAAGGCCACAGTGTTAGATGAGTCATCTATATGAATGTTGACATCACCTCCAGCAGTTTATGGGTAGAATGGAAGATAAAAGTTGAATACATTTTAATTCCCTGCCATCTGACTTCATCACTTACTATAAAAACTTTTTTAATAAGTTTTTTTAATTGTTGATGGGTCTTTATTTTTTTATACATTTACATGCAGTGCTGAGAATCGAACTCAGTTCCTCACGTTAGGCAAGCACTCTACCACTGAGCCACAACCCCAGCCCTTGTATTCAACTTTTTAAAGAGGAGGAAAGGTTTAGAAGAGTCAAGAAGGAATATTTCCCATTTACAGAAGTGCAGAAGCAGCAATCTCCAAATGAGAGGACTTCAGAGAAAGCCATGTTTCAGTTAGGGCAAAAAAGGAGAAGATTAAGAAGTAGAAAGAGTTTTCACTCAGTGAAAATTAGCCATTATTATCATCGTCACCATAATTTTTAATATTAGATTTTGTGATTACTTGTTATGTTATTGTACTCTTACTTCTGACACTTTAGTAAACGTTTTACTGTTGCATTGATACATCATCATCTATTGATTAAATACATTTTTCTATAAAAGTTTGGATATCAGGCCTGTGATAATGAACATCAAAATATTATCATAAATATTGGGAAATCAGGTTTAATTTTATTTGTAGAATTACTACCGTATTTCAGGCTCTTATCTAATACTGGAAATACGGAGATAAGTATGATGAGATACCTCATCTCAAAATGTGTGGATTAATAAACTCTCAGGAATACAACTGTGTAGGGGCTTCCATATCCTCCCTGAAGGATTTTACACACACAATTAGCAGTGGTCACCTCTGAGACACTGAAGGGAATAGAGATGCTTTCCATTTTTAGCCTACTGCTTTGAATCTTGGAGTATATTTTAAGTTTAGTAATGTTAAATAATTGTTAGTAAATGTTAAAGAATTTGTGCAGGTTACATTTTTCTTTGTGATAATTAAAAGGAAAGAATATATATTTTTTAAGCTTTTGTCTGTTTCTTCTAGGCAGGGATACCAATGGGACCGATGCCAGCAGCGGGAATGCCTTACCTAGGACAAGCACCATTCCTGGGCATGCGTCCTCCAGGTCCACAGTACACTCCAGACATGCAGAAGCAGTTTGCTGAAGAGCAGCAGTAAGAGACCTCCAGGATTCAAGGATAACAAAGATACATAATAGCAGCTTTTTTATAAATTGTCAGATGTTCTGTAGAGCATAGTTGAAGCAGTAAAGTTACTTTTGAAACATCTCAAAATACTTTTATTAGACATTTGGAGTCAAAAGGGACTTTAGAGCTCTTCTAGTTCAAGCCTTTTGATTTATATGTATGGGAAGTGAAGTCCAAAGAAATGAAATGATGCATTAGTCCAGTTTATAATTACTAGCAAAGCCCGAGCCCAGATGCAGGCCCTTGATTCTCTTTCTACTCTAGTGCTGCCTTCTGAAGGAAGTTTCTTTTTCATATGCAGAGCACATGGTTTTATGTTTATCTACCTCTAGTTCGAGAGATTACTTTTATATGCAAAGGTGCAAATTAAATCAAATACATATAGACATAATTTAAGCCATTTTTAGATTCATTTCAAATGTTTTAGAACAAATATAGTGAGCAAACATTGTCATAGAAAAATTAGATATAATTAGGAGTGAAAATTATATTTCTAGATATATGATGTTGCTACAATTGTTAGTAAAAATCTGATTATAAGCTGGGCACAGTGGCACATGCCTGTGATCCCAGTGGCTTGGGAGGCTGAGGCAGGAGGATTGCAAGTTCAAAACCAGCCTCAGCAATTTAGCAAGGCCCTCAGCAATTTAGCTGAGACCCTGTCTCTAAAAATAAAAAGGTTTGGGGATGTGGCTCAGCGGTTAATCGCCCCTGGGTTCAATCCCTGGTACAAAAATAAAAATCTGACTGTAACATAGTTAATAATCCCAAAGATGGATATTTATTAGATTGTTTTTCCTTCAGAAAACGATTTGAACAGCAGCAAAAACTCCTAGAAGAAGAAAGAAAAAGGCGCCAGTTTGAAGAGCAAAAGCAAAAGCTCAGACTTTTGAGTAGTGTGAAACCTAAGGTAATATATTTACCATTTCTCCCTCCCCAGACATACACATCTCGAATGTGTCTCTTCTCACCTGTTTGGTGGATTTTGTCACTGAGGCACCAACTCAAGCTGAAGCTCTGATTGATTCCTTCCACTTCAATTTACCTAAATCCTAAAGTAAAGGATTTCTCTTTTTCTGTAAATATGCTCTTGTTGATAAGAATAGAATTTCAGTCATTATCTTCTCAATTCTCTCTTACTACCTTGGTAATGTTTCTAATCTTTTTAGCTTAGGAAGTATTAATCTTAGTAATGTTAAATAAATATTGGTAAATGTTAAAGAATTTGTGCAGGTTACATTTTTCTTTGTGATAATTAAAAGGAAAGAATATATATTTTTTAAGCCTTTGTCTGTTTCTTCTAGGCAGGGATACCAATGGGACCGATTTTCTTCTAGGCAGGGATACCAATGGGACCAATCATATATCTTAGTGATATGAAATGGGTTTCTGTTAGGACCTCACAGAACACTTAATATCTAAGAGCACTATCCTAAAGCATTTATGAATGGGCCTTTAATATTTTTATATTCTGTGGAATGTCATTTTATGCCTTTGTTTTATGAACATATCAGTGTCTTTCTGACTTGGAGAATTTGTTATCAGAAATAGGTATTAAGAATATTGAAAATAGGGGCTGGGGTTGTGGCTCAGTGGTAGAGCGCTTGCCTCGCACACGCGAGACCCTTGGTTTGATCCTCAGCACCACATAAAAATAAATAAGTGAAATAAAGGTATTGTGTCCGACTACAACTAAAAAATAAATATTTTTTTAAAAGAATATTGAAAATAGACTAATATCTGTGTTTTTTCCTTTAATCTTGGAGGATTTAGGCAAAGAGAGATAAGTGAAGAAATAACGTACATTTGTTGTCTCTTAGACAGGAGAGAAGAGTAGAGATGATGCTTTGGAAGCCATAAAAGGAAACTTAGATGGGTTTTCCAGAGATGCTAAGATGCATCCTACTCCAGCATCGCACCCCAAGAAACCAGGTAGTTTTAAGAAGCATTAACATTTTCTTTCTTGGAAAAAACTTTGAGTCCCTCTGTGTTTAATTAACTATTATGTATGTGTGAAGCGAATGCTAGACTTTGCCTTCAAACTAAGTACAGATGTGGATGTTTTAATGTCCACGCTGCCTTGGGCTGGAAATGTAGCTCAGTAGCAGAGAGTTAATCTACCATTTGCGAGGCCCTCAATTTGATCCCTAGCACTGCCAAAAAGAAAGAAAAGAAAAAAGAAAGGAAGAAAACTTTACAGTGGCTTAAGGGATCCAGTCTAGATAACAACTGTCTTGGGAGGAATAAAAACCTCTTTGTCTTCTAATAAATGTCAATATGACAATTTTATTGTAAATCAGATCTTTTGTATATAAATGAATATGTTAACACTAGCAAAATCTATTCACTCAAAGCAAAAGTAATAAAGTTTACACTTTCATCCTCATTGTTTTACTATATAATTTTACTTTTTATGAGCTAGTTCAGATTTTATGTTCAGTGTTGCAGATTGCAAATTCTTCAAATGCTCCATTTTTTTAAAAGTCATGAATTTAATGATACTCCTTATGAAAGATTTCTTTAGTAAATTTCTCTGTAGTTTTTATCATTAGATAAGCAAAAAAGAACCTATTTAGAGCAGGTTAAAAAGATGCTTTTGGTTTTTTGTTATTGCTTTGAACATTTAGCAGTTGAAATGAGTCTTTTCTGTGCATAACTGTCATCACAGCCTTTTACAATATTGTATTAAAAAATACAATACTTTGACATCTGCTAATTTTCAAAAATAACATATCATTAATAGTTTTCATAAAACCATTCAGCCAACCAAGGAAGTATTATTTTAAAGTGTTAAGGATTATTAAATTTTATCTTAACCCCTTATATTATGGTACCTCTTATATGGGATATCCGGAAAGAATATTCTGATATCAGCATTGCTTTCAATTCTTGGTTTTCTGGGACAGCTTTTACTCTGTTCTTCTAATTTCATGGGTTAGAGTATGTGCCTAAATTCCATTGCAAAAATATATCCCTATATAAACTTATACACCAAGATTCAAAAGAGGATAGATATTAGCAGTCAGATTGAGATTCACAAAGGCAACCATAACTTAAAAAGCCAAATATTATCAGTAAGAAGTAATTTAGAAATAGACCTTGGCCTAGCACTGAAACAAAAAAGACATCAGAAATTAATACTAAAAACTGGACATGGCACTGATCTTAGATAAAAGAAGGGCAGGCAGAGAGGAATGATAGTTGTTCGGTTAACAATGTGCTGTCCATATAAAATGCCATTTTCAGCATCCAGCTATAGTTTTAACAAAAAGTATTGACAAAGAGGAAGGCTCATTGTTAAGTAATAAATTGGTGTTTTGCTGTTCAAATCTCTTGATTCTGTCAACATATTTGCCATTTACAATTTCTAATTCTCTGGAAAAAGTGTATTCAGAAGCAAGCCCAGGGAGATTCCAAAACTTCTCAAGTTAGGGTTTTAAAACTAGGACTAAAGTATATAAGAAGAGTTCCAAGAGTTTAACACCAAAGCCTCTTTTAATTTTTTTCCCCATAGACTTTTTAACTTAAAATATTGAATATACTAACTATATTATGAAACTTTTAATAATTCTTATTAATAATATACATAGCTGCCCGATTTTATGAGCCAAAATATCTACAGTAATTAACATAATTGCAACCAAATGCAAAGAAATACTGGTTTAGCCTTCAATGCATATTGCTAGTAAATAGCTAGGGTACATTTAAAAAATATTCAAAGTAGCTGAGAACCTAAATTGAGAATCTAAATCCATATTCTTGATAACCATTGTTGGGAGGACTGGGATTCAATGTGTGGCTTTTTTTCTTTTTTAGACAAAATTAGTTATGTATGGCAGTAATTTTATAAATTCATTTTGCATCTTTAATAGAACCTTCAGTGCTTCCAAATTGACCCTAAAGAGAGGGCGTAATCATTTAATGTCCCCATATTTCAGATGAGAGCCATTTAAAAAAAAGATTATATATAAGTAATTGCTTTAATATGTAGTAAAAATTAAAATATTTCCTAAAAATGTTTAAAAATATGAAGCAACTGCTGGGCACTGTGGCGCACGCCTATAATCCCAGTGGCTCAGTAGGCTGAGGCAGGAGGATTATAAATTCAAAGCCAGGCTCAGCAAATTAGCAAAGCCCTAGGCAACTTAGCGAGACCCTGTCTTTAAATAAAATTTTTAAAAAAGGGCTGAAGATGTGGCTCATTTATTAAGTGCTCTTGGATTCAATCCCTGGTACCAGAAAAAAAAAAAAAGGTGAAGCAACATTAAAATAGTATTATTTATGAGCGTTAGGTTAAATGTAGCCCCTGTAGAGCTGATTTATTCCCTAAATTGAAATGTCACATTTAGTGATAAAAAGCCACAGTAATGTTTTTGTCCTTTAGTTTCAAAGATCTTTTAAATATAGACCTCAAAGTTTACTTTCTAAGTTGACTGTTGTTTCATTCAACACTTTGTGGTATCTAAGTTTTAATGCTTTTTAAGGTGATATTTAAGGAAATATCACCTTAATAATGTGTTTAGTGTTCTTGGCTTCTGTAATATTAATTTCTCATATGATCATTTTACTGAAATGTGATCTTTGCAAAGTATAGATCAGGCATGATATAAAAATTACAAGTTTGTATTATGTGATTATTACTGAATTTCTTTCTAAATAACAAAATGTAAACATCAGAATGTTTTTGGCAGGGTATAGGTAGGTTTTTTCTGATATATGATATACATTGGTTTGAAGGAATATTATCCAGATAAATAGATCATTTGGATTTCAAAAGTATTTACCACTTTGATGTAAATTTATTAGTGGTCTTGGTTAAGCAAAAGCAATTAGTACTCACCTAATGAAAGAAGGAGATTTTGAGTTTTAATTTTTTTCCATTTTTGAACAAAATGCAAGTTAGCTATAAAACTTCCTTTTAAAAAGACAAATTGTGCATAGACATCAAAGTGTTTTGCATGTGTTGTATAGTTCCACTTGACTGTTACTACTTGTTATTTTTTATTCACCTCCACTATTCATATTTCATTGTATTCTTTTGGAATTGTACTACACCTTAATTTCTTTTTCTGTGGATTTTCATATCTGTGCATTTCATTGCCATTTTCCATTTTGCAGATTGTCCCACCTCATCTCATTCTACTAAAACTGTCTCCCCATCACCTGCCTTTCTTGATGAAGAAGAATTCAGTGACTTTATGCAGGGGCCGGTTGAAGTTCCCACATGTGGGCCTTCTTCCGCAGCCCAGCCCTTTCAGTCTTTACATCCCACCACCCCACTTGCCCAGTTGCTTACTCAGAAGGCCGGGGCACAGCCTCTCCCTCCAGGTCAGATTCCAGTGTCTTTTGCCTTACATGGTGTCCCTGGGCAAATTCCTTTTTTCTCTACTGCTTCAGCCTCACACAATGTGCAGAAAGCAGGTAACTCCTAGCAGTATTAATGAAAATATTCTTAAACTATTCTAGGATAATTTGTTTCTGTTATCGTATAATGATACAGTGGTGTTGGCAAAGAGACATGTACACAAATCTGTGAGTACTGTTGAAATTCACTAAAATAAGAGTCTTGATTTTTAGTTCTAGTGTCTTCACATGCCAGAAAAGTAATTTAAAACATTTTGCTACTAAAGTAGAAAAAGTTTAAACCACCTTAAAACTTTAAAAACAAGTTCATTTCTTAGCATTACTCTTTTGTTTGGGAAAATCATCAATATCATTGTCTTAAGATCATGAGCTTGGGAACACTCCTTTAGAAAGTGCTCTTTCTGGTTCAGTGACAGCACTGGAGGCAGAGGCTTGGGATGTTTGTTCATTTACTATCAGTTTGTCCTTAGACAAGTCTTTAAGCAGTTTGTACCTCAGTTTTTATCACCTATGAAATAAAGGGGGTAGCTACGCACTCTGTTTTGAAATGGTATAGTATTGGGAGGAATCTTGGCAAGCTTGTACTTAGTCCAGACTTTCTCATTTGACAGATAGGAAAACAGACCTGGAGATGATGCTCCCAGCTTGAGACCTTCCCAGTAGTTAGTGAAAGTGTCTATGTCTTGTAGGTTGCCAGATTTCTAAGTAGTGGCTTCTGCTACACTGTTTACCTACTATCTCAGAATTCTTGAGAATCAGATTAGATAACTATGTTTAAGTTTTCTAAAATCTCTAGTCTCTCAAGTCCCACACAAATGGGTGGCTATTGAATTATGTCTAAGTTTACTTTGTATGTGGCAGGGTTTTCCCTTTAGAATATTGGGGTGGAAAGGGATGATTGAAAAGATGAGAAATATGCAGGTCTGTACAAATAATCCTTCATGCTGTTTGTTTAGGCCCTTCCTTGGAGGAGAAGCTCCTAATATCTTGTGATATAAGTACACCTGAGCAGGAACAAATTAAATTAAATACTTCTGAAGTTGGGCACAAAGCTGTAGGCCCAGGTTCCAGTAAGAACCATTCCAGTTTAACAGCCAATAACGGGGGTGCTGTAGATGGATATATAAGTGGTACCACCACTACAGAGGCAGAAAAGACTTCAGACCAAAACCTGTCAATTGACGAAAGTGGTGAGCTCACAAAGCAAGAAAATTGTTTAACCAAATGTCGCTCAGCTGCTAACACCTTAAGCATTAATCTTAAAATGAATGCTGCTTGATTTTGCCAATTAAAAGTTTGCTTAAAATATATTTAATGCAGTCCTTTCTTCAATTAACCCCTAAGTTTTTGCTCTGAATTCTTTCAACACATTGTATTATTCCTTTTCAAAAAATGATTTTGATAACCAGTTTTCTTAATCTGAATCATTCCTGTTAAAATTTCCTTTCCTTTTGTCTGACAGAAATTCTCCTTTTTTCCCTTTACAATTTCTGTTCTTCCACAAAGATCAAAGAGTTGGAACTGGAAAAGTCACCAATGAAAATATAGTTTTGTGTTACTTGAAATTATATGCATTGCTGCCTAAAAGATCTAAATTTGGAGGCTGGGGATATAACTCAGTAGTAGAGCACTTGACTAGCATGCACAATGCCTTGAGTTCAGTCCATCCCCAGTACGTGCACATACACACACACACACACACACACACACACACACACACATAAACACAGAAATTAAAATTTCTTTCATTTAATCTTCAGAGATAAATTAGAATGTGGCAGCCCTGAAAGCAGACTTTTAGAGGATACTTTATTGAATAGTATGAATATCTCTAAATCCTATATATCTAATCTAATGCAGCAATGTTGTATTCAGGTTTTAAAAAATCAGGTTGGGCACAGTGGCATTCACCTATAATCCCAGCTACTTAGGAGGCTGAAACAGAAGGATTGCAAATTTAAGATGCGCTTGAACAACTTAACAAGACCTTGTTTCAGTAAACAAGAAGGGATCCTTGGCAGGGAGCCCCTAGGTTCAATCATCAGTAATCATTAAAAAAAAAAAAAAAAGTCATGTTATAAAAAGCTGCAAGTAAACTTAGGCAATTAAATTTTTACATATATGATTTTAAACTATCATCAATCATTTTTTCCTTTAAGTTATAAAAATATGAAATGGTTCAAGCCTCATGATTTAGAATATTGATTCAGTACATGTTAGCTTTTCTTTAATTTACTCTTTAGGACGCAGTTTCTGTGTAAGAGTTGGTTAGAAACCAAACACTTGCTGGACACAGTGGTGCATGCTTGTAATCCCAGTGACTTGGGAGGCTGAGACAGGAGGATTGCAAGTTTAAGACTAGCCTTAGCAACTTAATGAGATCCTGTCTAAAAATGAAAAGGGCTGGGGCTATTCAGCTCAGCGATAGAGTGCCCCTGGGTTCCATCCCCAGTACAAAAAAGAAAAGAAAAAACAAAAGAAACTAAATACTTCAGTTGTATTGGTGACTTTTTTCTAGTGTCTCCAGACAGTGTTCTTTATAAAAAGTCATCACTCAATGTCATTTTCCCACCTTCTCATGGACCATTATATACATTAATGTTCCTTATTTTCTAGGTGTGGGAGTGTTTCCTTCACAGGATCCTGTTCAGCCCAGAATGCCTCCTTGGATTTACAATGAGAGTTTGGTCCCAGGTAAAAAAGCCTCTTTACCATCTGAATATTTTGCTTTAAATATCATAGATGTAGTTGTAAGTATTTGCAAAATATGCAGAAGGAGTTGTCACTTTTCTCTTTTTTTTTCCAGAAAGAGTATAGAAAATTCAGTAGATCAAGTGTTTCAGACTGATAGAGTAATTATATAAATGAAAGAGAAATATTTTGCTTTTTAATATTTTATTGACTATAATATACTTTTATTTCTAAAATCTTTCTTTAGTTATCTTTCAAAGACATTGTCAAATATTTATTTCAGAGGTTATCAATAACTTACCAAGAACTATACGAATATGTTTAATGTTATATTCTGAATTCTCAGTGATTAGGTAATATTTTTAAATATTCTTTGTTATGTGATACTATATGAAGTAAAAGACCAGGTGGCATCTCTTTTATATTGCTGTTTACTTTTTCCTTTTTGTGTATTATTACTGCTTAGCATTAAAAAAAAAAAAAAAAAGGCCTACTAAAGTGCATGTTGTAGTAGTACTCAATTGAAATAAGGAAATGGTCATTTTTAGCCATGACTGATATGCATAAATTAATGACTATTACAGCAGCATATGTTAATCCTAATATACTGTAACTTGTGAATTTACTTTATTTTTCCAACACCTTGAAAGCTAAAGGTAACTTTCATTAGATCTTAAGTTTTCTGGGTTGGCTAAAGTTGTTCTTCATTTGATTAAATAAAATCATGCAAGAGTTCTGTAGCTGAACTTCTTTTTGCAAGAAATTTGGTAATGTCTATATTACAATGACATAATCAAAAATTAAAAGGTTAATTATTTTAAAAATGGGGTCTCAATTTTACATAAAAATAATAAGTTTTCTTTCAACTATCCATTTTGTGTCTTTTTCTCTTCCTCTTTCTTTAAGCCTTCCCCCCAAAAAGCAATGAGATTTTGAATATTTTTTAGTTTTATCCATTTTCTGCCAGCTTATTTCTTTTTTCCTCCTCCTTCCAAACATATACACATACTTTCTTAGTTAAAATGTGTTTTTTTTTTTTTTTAATTGTAGATGATACCTTAATTTTGTTTATTTTTTAACGTGGTGCTGAGGATCGAACCCAGTGTCTCACACATGCTAGGCAAGTACTATGCCACTGAGCCACAACCCCAGCCCCAAAATATGTGGTTTTATTGCCAATCTACTAACTTGTAATCCATATCCATTTTTCGAAAAAAAATTTTTGTTGTTGTTGTAGATGGACAGCATGCCTTTCTTTTATTTGTATATTTTTATGTGGTGCTGAGTATCAAACCCAGTGCAAAATATGCAAGGCAAGCGCTCTTCCACTATAGTCCCAGCCCCCCATATTCATATTTATGATCCTAGGTGTAAAGTTTTTGTTTTAAACATTTTTCTCTGCCTCTCTTAGCCCTACTGACCTTCATTTCCATCAATTCCTCTAACTAGGCCTGCCAGATTTAACATACAACATACAGGATGCCTGGTTAAATTTGAATTTCAGATATACAGCAAATAATTGTTTAGTGTTAGTATGTCCCATGTAATATTGCCTTTTTTTTTTTTTTTTGATACTGGGGATCCAACCCCAGGCTGCTAACCACTGAGCCCTTATTTCTTTTTTATTTTGAGACAGAATCTTACTAAGTAGCTTAGGGCCTTGCTAAGTTGCTGTAAGTTTCTGAGGCTGGCCTCAAACTTGCAATCCTCCTACCTTGGTCTCTGAAGTCACTGGGATTATAGGTGTGTACCACCACACCTGGCCAGTGTTGGTATTCTTTATCCTTGATTGGTCACCCTATCTCTAAAGGCCTTTTCTACTTTGTCCTTTGAAAAACCCATGTGATTGTGAAAAACTCATCAGCAGTCTCTCCCTTTTTTCAAACACTGGTTCTGTTTTATCACTTTAACTACAACTGGATTTTTCCTTGAAGGCTGTATTTCCAGAGCATCTTCTCCAGTGGTGTTTCTTTCATAGCCTCTGATTCACTGGGCCAGGAGAAAGGTGGTGTTGGTGTTATTCTTTTTTCCAATTGCTATGTTTAAACTGTTTCCACCAGCATCACTTACAGATTCTTCTTTTTTAAAGTCCAAAGCATCTGCTTATAGCACATTCATCTTTGTATGTTGTTTTTATCCAGAAAAATACAAAAACATCGTTACAGTCTTCTACTAAATTATGAGATGTTTTGTTACCTTTAGCCCTAAATTTTTAGCATTAGGACCAAGCCTCATTTCTCTGAGCTCCATACCCTAGTTGTTAGATAGTCCCACTTGAATTTCTTGATAGCTATTCAGACCCTGATGTGGCTTCAATTCTATTAAAACAGTTTGATTTAAGATTATTATTGTACACCAACAATGACAAAAAAAGGATTGACCACTTACAATATGTTTACATTTATAATCTGTTTTTTCCTCTACTAGATGCCTATAAGAAAATTTTAGAAACCACAATGACTCCAACTGGAATAGATACTGCTAAACTTTATCCCATTCTGATGTCATCTGGACTTCCCAGGGAAACTCTTGGACAGATATGGGCCTTAGCTAATCGAACTACACCTGGCAAACTTACTAAAGAAGAACTTTATACTGTTCTCGCCATGATAGCAGTAACACAGGTAGGTGATGTTTCTTAAGATAGCTCAAATAAACTTGTAAATATAAATTGAAAGAATATTAATCCTTTTTAACTGTCTTTGTAGAACTCCTTGTACACCAAAATGTAGATCACTTTTAATGTACAATACTTCAAAAATGTTCAGTTCATGTGGTGCACATATTAGCATAATCTTTTGTTTAAGGACTATGTAATGTATGAATATTCTCTGGCCTCACTCTATTCCTTTTAAACTTGAAAGTTGGTAATAGGTGGACAGATTACTCTCTCTGTCCTTCAAAGTCTTTTTACAAAATTCCTTTGGTACAGATAAAGTAGTCTAAGTCTGGTAACAGTTTTTCTTATAAAATCATTTAAAATTATTTGATGATAGCAAATTAACTGAACTTGTCAGAAAGGGAAAATATTGGAATTGATAGGTGTTAGCCACTTTTTTGCTGAATATTAGGTTTACATTGCCCTTGTTACTTATTTTCTTGTATCAAATTCATGAGTTTTGGGAATCAGAAAAAGAGAGTGAAAGCAATATGAAGACTTCAGGGGTTTTTTGTTGTTGTTGTTGTAGATGAACACAATATTTATTTTTATGTGGTGCTGAGGATCAAACCAGTGCCTCACACTTGCTAGGCAAGTGATCTACTACTGAGCCACAACCCCAGCCCAAGACTTCAGGTTTTACCTTTAGGTCTCTCTTTACCATATATAAATTGTGGTTTGTAATCCCCTAAAATGTGTCCCTTTTCCTCCTGTTCCATATAGAGGGGTGTTCCTGCCCTGAGTCCTGATACTTTAAATCAGTTCCCAGCTGCTCCTATTCCAACTTTAAGTGGTTTTCCTATGACACTGCCTACCCCGGTGAGTCAACCAACTGTGCTACCTGCAGGCCCTGCTGGCTCCATGCCCCTCAGCCTTGGACAGCCAGTCATGGGTATTAACCTTGTTGGACCAGTGGGTGGAGCTGCAGCCCCCGCTCCTAGTAGCTTCATGCCAACTTACTCAGCAAATCAGGTAAGTGAAGAAGCTGTGTATTCCAAATAATCACAGAAAGTGCATCTAGACAGGTTTTAACTTTTCATTATTTAAAACCACGAGGAAATTTATTAAGCATTAAGATGTTTGAGTTTTGTTTTGCTTGTTCACTTTTTTTTAAAAATTTTTTTTATTGTTGAGGTCTGTTTTTATATGTGCTGCTGAGAGTCGAACCCAGTGCCTCACACATGCTAGATAAGCACTCTACCACTGAGCCACAACCCCAGCCCTTGTTCACTTGTTTTTGGTACAGGGGATCGAACCTGGGGTGCTTTACCACTGGGCTACATCTCTAGTCCTTTTTATTTTGAGACATTGTCTTGCTAAGTTACTGAAAGTCTCATTAAGTTACTGACACTGGCCTTGAACTTGAGATCCTCCTGTCAAGTCACTGATATTACAAGGGTTTTTTGAGTTATGAGTAAAGGGATATTTGTTATAATATTGTTAGAATAAAACAATAGAAAAGTTGACTGTCCAAGGAGCCACAGTGCTGGCGGCGGCTGTGGGCAGTGAGAGCTGCGTGTGCTGCCCCTCCCCGGCGGGGACAGCCAGGCCACACTGCACGCACTTCCGGTGCGGGCGACCATGGAGTGAGCGTAGGGCTTGACAGGAATTGACAGGAGGCACTCCAGTGAAGAAATGGACTAGTGTGTGTAATCATGGAATCTCCTTGCTGACCATCACCACCTGCTCTCCTTAATAAGTGAGAGAGTGGGTTAGGGGAGGAAGAAAAGGGTCACCATGAAACTTAAGCAGCGAGTCATGCTCTTAGCAATACTCCTTGTCATCTTTATCTTCACCAAAGTTTTCCTGATAGACAACTTAGATACATCAGCTGCCAACCAGGAGGACCAGAGGGCTTTTCACCGAATGATGGCTTGCGGGTGGAGCTGGCACCCAAGCTGGACCACACCTTGGAGTCACCAGGGAGATTGCAGCCCAGGGGGTGGTACCCTGAAAAGTGTTCCCTGAAGAGACACCAGAGCTGGGAGCAATCATGCATGCCATGGCCACCAAGAAAATCATTAAAGCCGATGTAGGTTATAAAGGGACAGAGCTGAAAGCCTTACTGATACTTGAAGGAGGACAGAAAGTTGTCTTCAAACCTAAGCGGTGTAGGCGAGACTATGTGGTGGAAGGGGAGCCATATGCTGGTTATGATAGACACAATGCAGAGGTAGCAGCCTTTCATTTAGACAGGATTCGGGGTTTCTGCCAAGCCTCCTTGGTGGTTGGCAGTTTGTTAATCTACGGACAGAGATCAAGCCTGTTGCTACGGAGCAGCTGTTGAGCACCTTCCTAGCTGTAGGAAACAATACTTGTTTCTGTGGGAAATGCTACTACTGCCGAGAAACAGAGCCAGTTTGTGAAGATGGAGACACAATGGAGGGATCTGTCACACTTTGGCTTCCAGATGTGTGGCCTCTGCAGAAACACTGACACTCCTGGAGCAGGACTTACCAAGAAGGCAAATTGGCCAGGTGGGAGTATGATGAGAGCTACTGTGTTACTGTGAAGAAAACGTCCCCATATGACTCAGACCCACGCCTCTTGGACATCATTGACACCTCTGTCTTTGATTACCTGATTGGCAATGCCAATCACTATGAGAGCTTTCAAGATGGTGAAGTCACTAGTATGCTTATCCTTCTTGATAATGCCAGAAGCTCTAGGAACCCCTTGCTGGATGAGAGAAATATCCTCACCCCTTTCTATCAGTGCTGCGTCATTAGGGTTTCTACCTACCAACAGACTGAACTACCTAAAGAATGGAGTGCTAAAGTCTGCCTTAAAATCTGCCATGGCCCATGAGCCCGTCTCCCCCATGCTCTCTGATCCTCACCTGGACGCTGTGGACCAGTGGCTCCTGAATGTACTAGCCCCCGTGAAGCAGTGCACTGACCAGTTTGGGATGGACACTGTGCTGGTAGAAGACAGGATGCCTCTGTCTCACTTGTAACTTTCAACAGAAAATAAGTGAATCTTATTTTTTCAAAGATAGAGAAACAGCACAATCAATTCCAAATGGTATGAGACGGCTTTGGAAGTGGCCAGCAGCAGGTTCTGGTGGTAGAGGACAGGGTGGCCTTCAGTGTCTTTGTTGTTTGCTGTAGTGGAAGCTAAAGCAAAGACCACAAGTGTTAAGAGCTTGGATGATCCTGCAGAAACACCTTCCAGCGTCCTCGGCAGTTGCTCATTTCTAGCAATGGTCATCAGCATTGGTCAGTCTGTGTTCTCATACCAAAGGACAAACAGGTGTGACATTTGGATAAGTGAATGCTGGGATTGCTTCCAGAGTGTGTGTTTTGAGGTGAACTTTGCAGTCCTTTTTCCACACCTGTGAATTTTGTGGAAATACTATACGATCTCTTGTATCTTTTTTACCAAGACTAGTCTAATTTGAAAGCTTACTGCCTCAAGTTAAATATTATTTAAAAGTAAATGAAAGATATGCATGGAAGGTTGTCTGTGTTATATAATTACTTTTTTTTAAAAAAAAGTATAGAACCATATAAGCCTATTGTTCTATAAAATAAAAGGACTTCTAACAGTACTTTTTACTGGAATGTATGCTGAGGATCCAGTGTTTACAGTTTACTTTATAAATTTATGTGACGGGTTATGCCATATTTGCATCACTATTATAATTTAAAATATGCATAAAATGTATTTTAAAGATGACAGCCTCTCAGTAACCCAAATAAGTTTGATTAGGCTATTTTTTTTTTTTATTTTTTTAGATGTTGATGGACCTTTATTTTATTCACTTATTTATATGTGGTACTGAGAATCAAATCCAGTGCCTCTCACATGCCAGTCAAGTGCTTCACCACTGAGCCACAACCCCAGCCCCATGATTAGGCTTTTTAAAAAAATGTATAGATTAGCTTTTTTGGTCAATCTTCTACCATTTATACTAGAAAGTATCTAAAAATACAAAATAGGATTCCTGCCTTAAGCACTTGAGTTGATGTTATATCTAAAATGTATTCTACTGAGCTAGAGGTATAGTTCATTGGTAGAGTGCTTTGCCTAACATGTGATCCCTAACACCACAAACACACACACAAAGTGCTCTTCTAAAATTAGGTAGTTATAAATACAGAAATTTTTTTTTGATTTTTTAAAGTTGGTGCATTATAATTATAAATAATAGTGGAATTCATTATAACATGTCCATACATGCACATAACAAGATTTTTTTCAATTCCATTTTTGAGTACTTCTCCTGCCCCCTCTCTCCCTAATCCCCTTTCTCTACTCTACTGGTCTTCTTTCTATAAATTGGGAAATTTAAATCACATTTTTTGAGGTTGACAATTGGAGATTTGTTGTTTACTTATTTTATCAATGTGATGCTTTCTATTTAAATGTCCTTTCTAAATCTAGGTGGGAAAGCCAGAAGAAGATGACTTCCAGGATTTTCAAGATGCTTCTAAGTCAGGATCCCTTGATGACTCATTCACTGATTTCCAAGAGGTACCTACTTCTTCAAAACCAAGCAATTCCCAACATGGAAACAGGTAAAAAGGAGCTGAATATATTTAACATTGTATTTCATCATTAAAGAGGCATCCACAATAGCAAGCCTAAGTAAGAACAGCTAAGGTGACTTGCTCTAATACTTTACTTGATTATTCCTTCTTTATTCATACTTTTACTCTTTGAACTTCACTGCTCTTTGTCCACCTTAAACTTTAGCAACCACTTTGGCAGTATTTTTACATAGGAAATGGACATTATTTGTCTTAAAAAATGTAAAAAGTCATTAAAGTGTTAGAAGTAGACTGGGATAGAAAATGTTAATCAGTCAGAAAATGTTCTTAGTTAAGAGCAGCCCCAGTTATGGGAAGCCTTATGATTCATAGAGCATCTTAGGAATAAGAAGTGGCAGAATGAGGGCTGGGGTTGTAGCTCAGTTCAGTGGTAGAGCGCTTGCAATAAAGGTATTGTGTTCATCTACAACTTAAAAAAAAAAAAAAAAAGTGGCACAGTGAGAGGGATTTTCAGCTGCTGTATGATATCCCTTCACCTGTGGCGATAATCCTGGTGTGAGATTATGAGAGATATCCTAGAGCTTAGAGTTAGACACTGAACAGTTTCTACCTGAGGACCTGGTTCGACTCCATGTTGAACTGGATATCAGAGTCAGAGGAGAGAGAGCAATTGAGCCTTCTCCTAAGACAAGACTTTTGGAAGACAACTGACCATTCAGAACATACTGTGTGCCAGGCACTAGAGGGCCTAGAATAATCAACAAAGCAGACACGGGGCATTGATGATAGAAAAATTCAAAAAGATTAAGGTCTGGGGTTCATCAGTTTGTTTTATTTTGTAGAGATCAAAATATTTCTTTTAGATGTTTGTATTTAGTAGAGTGAGCAACTAAGTGAAGCTATGTACCACAACCAGGTAGAGTGATTACACAACAAATGGATTCACTAAAGAAAAAGCAAAACAGGTTTTTCAGGGCCAAATTTTTAGCTTTACCATCCAATGGAATGCAGGTTCTTAAATTTTAAAACAATGTGCCTCTCTCACTTGAATACTTTCATTAGAGTTAAAGAGTAGAAGGGGGCTGGGGGTTGTGGCTCAGTGGTAAAGTGCTAGCCTAGCACATGTGAAGCACTGGGGTGATCCTCAGCATCACATAAAAATAAGTAAGTAAAATAAAGGTATTGTGTCCAACTATAACAAAAACAATATTTAAAAAGAAAGTAGAACTGTTTTCATGTTTAAGACAGATAATAACTACTATATATAACTGGCATAAACATGCTCATGGTGATTAGTCTTTTTAATAACTTCAGAGAAAGAACTGAAATGAAACATTCATTTGCAGCATGCACAAAATTATAGTCTGAGTCAAACCCTTCTTGGCTAGAATTTTATTTTGTTGATTTCAATCAGCAGTACTTCATTACCCTGATGATCCTCTTTTTTTTCCAATTATGTGGATATAGTTTTAAAATATATTCAATTAAATATCACAATTAGTAGAAAGATTTTACTGATGAGCTTTAAATGACCATAGCTAAAATTGGAGGATCATGAAAAACAAATAGATCATCCAACTTTGTGGGTTTTTTTTTAAGACACTAATTACTTTTATTCCTATGTAACATTCTGTGCAGTGAGCTGTAGTTTAATTACTTATGAAACTTAAAAATCCACCTAAAGTATAGATGATAGCCCATTATATTTTTCAAGATCAGATATGTAGCAGCTGTTTGGTAGTGATGTGAAATTTTAATATTTGATGGCACTAAGTCCTAAAGCACTGTGGACCCCTATTAGCATGCATGAGCAAAAGCCTGGTTTTTACCTTGCTTGTAGGCCACTGATAAGAAGATTTAAATGACTGTGGAAAGATTTTTGCCCTAGGGCAAAGAATTCAATAGAAATCCATTTATATACCTTGCATGTGTGGTATTGAATGACACAAACTGGTGGTGGAATGTAGTCATTCATATGTAAAGGTTGTTCTTCCAGGGAGCTGCCCGAGTCTGATAAGGGGGGGAAAAAAGCAGTGCTTTTATAGTATATGTTTAAGCCTTCCAAGAATTACCCACCCAGATACTACTCATTACATTATTTTTCCAGCCAGGGAAAAATACGACCACAGGCAGAAGTATCTTTATCTAATTTTGAAGTGATTGTTGTTTTGCCACAAAGATAGCTTCTGGAACTGCTGATGTGATCCTTGTAAAAATGCAAATTGTATTAACTCTGCTGCTGCTTATCAGATGTATGAACTTCTGCCAGAAAGCAGTGCAGTATGATCAAAAGAAGAACAATTTATATGTTGGCTTAAACAACATTTCATAAATAGATTTATATCTTAACTATTCCACCTCTGCACTCTGAATCTCTTTTAGAGAATAATTTATATTGAGCTTAACAGAATTTATTTTAAGATATTGGGTATACTTATTTTGAGCAGTTGACTTTCATAGATTTATGGACCTTAAGTAAACATTGTGGAAGATGGCTATTCTTTAATAATCTATTTCCCTTGCCATTCAAATCATTATTATGCTTTAAAGAGATGCTTAGATGTTCAATGTAGATTTGACCCCTCTTCAGTTAATCAAGAAAAATTGTGGTTTTTTTTTTTTTTCAAGAAAAACATTATTTTTAGTCATTTGTGGTATGTATATATAGTTTCTGGCTTTTAAAGCAGAGAGCCATGAGTTGTAACTAGGTAATTTGCTTGCCATTTTAATTCTAAGCTCCTATTTGATAACAAGGGAAGGATTGAATGTTCTGGTCATTAAGACATTTTCTTTTTTCCTTTTAGTACTCCATCTCTGTTGATTCCAGTACCTGGAACTAAAACAATGGTTTCAACGGATAAATATGCAGTATTTAAAGGAATTGCTGCTGACAAGTCCTCTGAAAATACTGTTCCATTTGGAGGTAAAAATAGTTTGTAAATTCATGAATCTTTGAATGTAACATTTAAATTATATGAATCTTTAAATGGTGACCTTTTATGTTAAACATATAAAATGTGGGTTATGATGTGGCTCAGTGGTAGAGTGCTTGCCTAGCTTGCCTAGCATGTATAAGCCCTTGGGTCCTATCTACAACACCGAAAAAATACACACACAAACCCACACACGTATGTATGCGTACGTATATATTTATAATGTACGATACAAGTATTTTACATATGTGTAAACATACATGTATGGATGCAAATGTGTGTATATATACACATATGTAAAATGCTTGCATCACGTGTTAAGTATATTTGGTTAACCCAATCTGCCTTATTTCCTTGAGATGTAATCTCAAGTTTTCTTTCCATAATTGAGCTACTGTCTTTCTATTATAGAGCCTGGTGATAAGTATAGTGCTTTCAGAGAACTGGAACAGACATCAGAGAGTAAATCTTTAGGTAAGTTTTTGAATCCCTAAAGGATATATTGTTTCTATTGTTGATGAAGAGAATTTTGATGTTTCTTTCAGTAACATTTCTCACTTCTGAACATTATTGTATGTATGTTTTGGAGGAAAAAAAACTGGCTAGGTAGAACAATATGGTGTAGTAGTGATTTTGGGGATAGATATTTAAGCTAGAAATATTTTAATTCAGAAACCTTCAATGACTATCTACCACGTTTAATAAATGTTTTGATAGAGTATGGGTAAGGAATTATCTTGTGGAAGAGGGACATTCCTTTCAATGTTGTGGTTTTGAAAATTAAAGGTGGGCACAGTGGTGCATACCTGTAATCCCAGCAGCTTAGGAAGCTGAGGCAGGAAAGTCATATGAGTTCAAAGCCAGCCTCAGCAACTTAGCAAAGCCCTAAGCAACTCAGCAAGACCCTATCTCTAAATAAAATAAAGGTATTTGTCCATCCACAACTAAAAAATATTTTTTTAAAAAAGGGGGAGGTAGGGTAAGGATGTGACTCAGTGATTAAGTGCCCCTGGGTTCAATCTCTAAGGGAAAAAAAAGATTAAAAAAAATTAAAAGAGGCAAATGTGTGGTTCAGTTATTGGGAATTCTTTTCTAAAATTAAGAGCAAAGCTCAAATCACTGCTCTTTCATCTGAAGACAGTATATTCTCTTTCACTGGAAGTCTGCAAGCCAAGTTGGAATCCTGTCTCAAAAGGTCAGCTGTGACCACTTTAGTTTATGGTTATGTTCGAGAAGACTTGAACTGTTCAAAGTGCATGTGGACTGTGCAAAAGGTATCCACCAGTCTTTTACTTTTCAAGGTTTTTTCCCTGTTACTTTTGTAGTACCTGGCACTGTACGTATGTGTGCACACCCATGTGTGTACATTAATTTCTAAATCATCATCTGGAAAGAAAACATTCTAGAATACCTTTATTAAAAACAGCTCTGAAGTTAAGCTCAGTGGTGTACCTCTGACTTGGGAGGCTGAGGCAGAAGGATTGCAATTTTGAGGCCTGCCTCAGCAGCTTAGTGAGGCCCTCAGCAACTTAGTAAAACCCTGTCTCATAATAAAAGATAAAAAGGGCTGGGATATATCTTAGTGGTAAAAATACCCCTGAGTTCAATCCCCAATACCCGCCCCCCCCAAAAAAAAAAACAAAAACCTGTGATAAAGCAGTCACTATTATATATCATAAAGTAGATACAAGATATTTTACATTCACAGAGGTGTGATATAGTGCATCTATAACGCAAGAGGATATAATTAGAAGGCATTGAGACTTAATCTACTTTTCTCACAGAGGGCCCAAAGTATGGTATGTCAGCTTTGCTAAAGAAATGTCTCTTAAGATTTCTTTTCATAGTAGCACAGTTCTAAGTACTTACTACTCTTCAAGAACATGAGCTAAAAATCATTTAAGATTTTTATTGGGTTCATATAAAGAGGACCAAGTGCAGGTAAGCAAGGCTCGGCATAACTACTGTTTGCTAAATCTGCCATGTTTGAATGGTGAGAGCTCCGTGGAAGAAAGGGGAGCATTTCTAGCATCTGAGGCCACAATCAGAACACAGCATCATTTCAAACAGAAGCAGTAGCTGAACAGTGCCCAATGGCTATTTCTATGGATGCTAACATCAATATTTAATTATTCTGGGCTGGTGATGTAGCTCAGTATTAGAGCACTTGTCTGGCATGCATGAGGCCCTGTGTTCCATCCCCAGCACTGCAAAAAATCAAATATAACAATAAAATTTAGTTGTCCTCTCACTCATAAAGGAAGAAGGGGAGGTCAGTTACTGTCCTTGGCTTGTGTTTGACTCAGTCATCACTACTCAAAATTTTCAAAGTTGGCTATGAATTAATGAGAAAGATGAGAGAAGAGGTTATATGCATGTGTCTCTACTATCTCTGATAGAAAGGCTTAAAAAAGAGTAAAAAGAGAATATAGAATGATCATTTGAGAACCACATGTAAAAACTGAAAGCTAATATTTGTGGCTAAATCCTGTGATATACATGATGTATATGTAGAGTTTAGGTAATCTATAGGTCAAATTGTGTCCTCTACAATTTAACTGTGTATGTTATGGAATATATATGCTCTAATGAGGCATATATATTTCCTTTTAGAAACAGTGCCATATTCTACCTTTATATACTAAATGCTCAAACTTGGGACATCCTTCATCAATTACTTATTTCCACCCTTCTGTTTGGGATGGGAAGATTTTATAGCAGTAAGGTAGATACGGTACATGCTATACTGTTTGAACATCTCTAAAAGGGGAAAGCCAGCCAGGCACAATGGCACATGCCTGTTATCCCAGGGACTTGGGAGGCAGAGACAGGAGAACCACAAGTTCAAGGCCCGCCTCAGCAATTTAGTGAGACTCTATCGCAATAGAAAATGAAAAGGACTGAGAATGAAGCCCAGTAGTAAAGTATCCCTGGGTTCAATCCCCAGTACATACAAAAAGTTAAAGCCACTTCTTAGAAGAATATCCAATCCCTTATAGCTCCTAGGTTCCAGAGGTATTTCCTTGTGTTTGTCCAAGCATTTGGGGTGTAACAACTATTTCTTCCTTAGTGTCTGTATTAGGTACTAGGAGTATAAAGATGAACCCTAGAGGAACTTTTGACATGTTTCATTTACTCCTAGCAGTGCTTTCTTCAGCTCTTGAGCCAAGGCAAGTTTGGATTAAAGACCACTGATTTAAAACATCTAGGTTCTTTGGGTAATTTGGTGTTAATGATCATGATATATATGTTATTCCTTTTAAAGACAATAGGGAAATACAGCGGTGCCACCAAAATGTAATTAGTCCTGCTTTTTCAGACCTTAACAAAGTCCCAAATTGTTGTCATTTTTGTTTGCTTGCTATCTTTTTTTATATAGTTATATGGTTTAACTTCAACAAAGTATATTAGTGTCTTGGAATTTATAAAGAATCTTAGAGAATTACATTAGAATTGTGAATTTCTTATGTTAATAAATGACGGTTTTGTATTTCCTTATTTCTACCTGTGCAGTTAGAGCCATGAATTGATATAGATGAAGAAAATGTCCTGTATATAGAAGGGACACTTCTTATTGAAGTTTTAACAAAAGTGTTCTTTTTTGAGATTTTTAGGGCCCTAAAGTAACAAATTAGAGAGGAAAACTTAATTCACAAGTTAACCCAAAAGCTACCTACAGAATAATGTTCAGTGTGCCATTTAATATGCAAACTCCAAATATTGCAATTAATTTATTTGCCAGAAAATTTTCCTTTGTTTTTGAATTTATAAATCCACCCATTTTTATTTTCTTTTAACCTTCACCCGGCTTCCATTTCTGATGGAAAAGTTTACAATTCATCAGTAAGTTTAGTTTGTTGTGGTGATTTCTTTATAAAAATAACCAAGCAAAACTTGTCAATTTCACAAATAATCAGAGCAACACATCAAAAATTTAAGCTGTGAGAAAATTGGTGGTCATTACCTTTTCTTTTATAGAAATAACACAAATATAATCAGTGATATGCTTGTCTAAAATTCTGAGGTGATTTTTGTAAGTTTTATCTGTGTCTCCTGTCAATTTGTGAAATTGACTTGAGTTTTATTAATGGTATATCTTAAAAAAATTACAGAAAATCTGAATGCTGTTCCTGTTTCTAAAATTTTCCTAATATTAAACAGATTTGTGTTGATGAATTTCGCTAGTAAGTTGAATAACATGTTAGAAGGAAAAATCAGCTTCTATTATTTTCATTTGATATATCAAAGTATATATTGTGTTAAGAATATATTTAAAGCCTACATTTTATATGCCACTTTTAAGAATTGGATTTGGTTTTTAAAATATTTTACAGTTCATATGCTTCTGTGTCTCGGTTTTGGGGGAAAAATAGGATATTTAAAAATTAGGTAAGGAAATTAAAGTTTGTTATTTTAATTTGTAAACCTCCAGAAATGACAGTAAAAATACTGGTTGGAATTTCTATATTCATATTTAGCTTATCTCTGATTTTCATTACCTGGTGTTTCCTAGTGGATTTTATGGTAGACCTTGAGGTGCTTTTAGAAAACTGAGATCATCTGTATCCTAACATCATACCTGTGAATGATAACATTAATATAAGAAATAATGAATAGAGACCCTATTAAGACTCATGGGCCCATTGTTAAGAATAAGTGTTCATAAGTACAGTGAGATGGCTGATTTCAAGAAAGGTCACTGGATCACAGATTTTTTTCTGTGAGATTCAATTTATTTGTTAGAGAGTATGGGGAGGAGCTGCTTTAAAATGTGCCAGACTCTTTGGCAAATAACTAGCTACCTTTTCAAAAATTTTCACCACAGTTTTCCTCAAATTAATAATGCCTCTTTATACTTGAGCAAGATCACATAGTATCCCCCCGCCCCCCGCTTTGGTGCTATGCATTGAACCCAGGACTTTGTGCTTGCTATACAAGGTATACCACTGTTCTACATCCCCAGCTTCTAATGATTCTAAAGATGTCCAGTTGTTCAAAGTGTTGTATGACCTGAATATTAGATGCAGGATTGCTCTTAATACTTTGCTGATACCTCTGGGAAATTTTTTTTTTTTTTTTAACCGTGTAACATGTTTTATCTTTAAAGGGCTACTATTTCAATATGCCTCTCTCAGGAACCTCCAGTGCCTATTTCTGTTCTGTTGAATGCTCACCTGGCTGGCCAAAGCAAGAAAAAGTCTCTGAGAACAGTGCCTACTTCCTCATCACTAGGCTTCGGTGTGGAAACAAATACACAGTTTGATAGAGTTCAAACTATGATTAACATCAAACCAGTGGGGGGAACCCTATAAAGTTATACTTGCAGTTTAATATGCTGTGCCCTATGTGGTTTTCAGTTTAGCATTCTTGTTTATTTGTCGGTGTTTTTTCTTTCAGGAGAGAGCTTTGCAGAATTCAGATCTGCAGGAACTGATGATGGTTTCACCGATTTTAAAACAGCAGATAGTATATCACCACTAGAGCCACCCACAAAAGATAAAACTTTTCCAGCACCCTTCTCCTCAGGAACTGTACAACAGAAACAGCAAACACACATGAAAAATCCTCTGAACTTGGCAGACCTAGATATGTTTTCTTCAGTTAATTGCAGCAGCGAGAAGCCCTTGTCTTTTTCAGCTGCATTTAGCACATCAAAACCTGTTTCCACACGACCTCAGCCAGCAGGTTCAGGCACAACGATGACAGCACTGGCATCAACTAAAACTTCTAGTTTGGCTGATGATTTTGGAGAATTCAACCTTTTTGGGGAATATTCTAGTCCAGCATCTATTGGGGAGCAGGATGACTTCGCAGATTTTATGGCTTTCAGTAATAGCTCTATTCCATCTGAGCAAAAGGCAGAAGACAAATACAATGTCCTTAAGGAGGAAGCTAGTCCTGTTCCTCTAACCAGCAACACGGGCTGCACAGTGAAGAGTGCGCAAAACCCACCTGCTTTATCCACCAAGTACGATGTCTTCAAACAGCTTTCTCTAGAAGGAGCTGGACTAGGTGTGGAAGAATTAAAAGATAACACTCCTTCTGGAAAAAGTGATGATGATTTTGCTGACTTCCACTCCAGTAAATTTTCTTCCATGAACTCCGACAAATCCCTGGGAGAGAAAGCAGTGGCTTTCAGACACACCAAAGAAGACTCTGCTTCAGTGAAGTCCTTGGATCTCCCGTCCATTGGTGGCAGCAGCGTTGGCAAGGAGGACTCTGAAGATGCACTCTCTGTTCAGTTTGACATGAAATTGGCTGATGTGGGAGGAGATCTTAAGCATGTCATGTCTGATAGCTCTTTGGATTTACCAACAGTTAGTGGCCAGCATCCTCCTGCTGCAGGTGAGGAATTGGTGAGATTGCTCTGGTGATGGTAACGTAGATCTCAAAAGTGATTCTGTGGGTGTTGATTTACAGAAGAGTGAGGCTCTGGCCCTTCATGAATTTCTGATAATTAGCCTCCTTGTTGCCAGTCTCCTGGAAGCAGTGTTAAATTTGATTCTATGGATCCTTGAATATATGGATACTGTGATTACTCTGAAACTAGATTGGATAGCTAAAATATTTTTATTTTTGAAATCCAATACTCTCTTGGCATCAGAGGCACATAAAAACCCACTGCTAAATGAACCCTACATTGCCAGAAATTTTATAGGTTTTTGCAGTGTCAGCAGTCTTCATTTCTGTGAGCGAAATCAGTGTTTTCCTCTCCTTTTTTCTTCTTTGGGTATATTTAGAAGCTGCCAATGTAGTATTCTGTTTGATTTACAGAAACTGACTCTTATTAGCCTAAGGAAATTTAAAAAAAAAAATTCTAATGAGTTATACTTCAGTGTGCCACAACCTTTCAAGAGAAGAAGAGGGAAAGAGCTTATTTATGGATGTCTGTGTGGCACTGTCTGGCAAGGAGGAGGGCCTGTGTTAGTGAAATCCAGGTACTGTTTTCAGTGTGAGCTCTATTACTGGAAGTATTAAGTTTTAACAAATGTGTAGATGCTAGGATCACGTGACTACTGATTTTCTGATAGAATATTTGAAAACATTATTATTATGGAACCCTCTTTAAATTCTGTGTGGAATTACATGTAGCAGTTTATTCTCTAGTCCAACTTCCTATCATAAAAACTAGATTCCCAAGTGTCCTAGTTTTTGTTTTGTTTTTTTGATATGTATATAATAAGATAAACCTATTTTGTGGCCTTTAATAATGAGAACATCTCAGTATTACTGTATTCTGGAAAATGTATTCGGCAAATGAAGGGTTTGTTTTTCCTTTAACCTGAGAGAGACACGTAAGACAACTTCCAAGTTTACAGGTTCAGGCAGAAATTGTAAAGTACTATAGCTTTTGCATATATCAGATTGCTAAGTCAGAAAACAAAATTGTACCTGTTATTGAAATGTTGGAGGTTTTCTTAAGCTGGGTGCTGAATTGGGAGCAAGTTAGCAGAGACCTTATGTCTAGTGTTGCTACTTGCGAAGGTATTTTGCCAGTGCAGTGGGCTGTCTGAAGAGCTCCTTGTGCCCTTGGCTATTTTTCTTTCATTTTTGTTGAGTTTTTGGTACTTTTCTTGCAAGTTTTCTTTTTCTTTTTCATTTTTTTTTCCTTGCTGCTGTTTGTTTGGTAGGGTGATTTTGGTTTTCTCTTTTGTATGAGCTGCTTGAGCCACAGCAGTTGGTTGCAAAGTGCTCTGTTTTCTAAACAACAATATTTGACTTTCATTTCAAAAGCTCATAACATGTATACTACTAGCCTTTAGACTCTGGAGTTATAATTAGAAGCTATTTTTCTGAAAATGAATCTATATTCTTTCACAGTGCCAAGCTAGATGTCTTTATGAAACGAGTCTAATCTGGGTTTGGGGTGTCTTCTCCTCCCTCTTTTTATTTGGGGAGGGGAGGTTGGGTTTTTGATTGAGCTTCTTCCGATGAACCTGTTAAAATAATCTGTGCTCATGTTCTTTATGTATGTTTGGAACATTCCCAGATTGGAACCTGTCATGTTCAAGCCACCTCTCTTTAGTGTGAGGATACTCTGAAAAGCAGATTGTTTCCACCCATTGATCTGTAAACCTCCTGTTGGAAAGGTGCAGTATCCCTTTAGAGCGGTTGTTAAAAGGGTTGATGTCTGACCAAGGATGTCTGTACTGTTGTTGAGCAAGTTTGCTACATAAATATATCAGAGAGGGTAAATGGCAGAGCTTTCTTCAATGTGATGTGGTTTTATTCTTCTATTCACCACAGTATCTCCTGCTCTCTTAGTGTGAGGGTTAAGGGTACATCCTATTGGAGAAATTAAAAGGGGGCTGATGACGTGAATAAAACCTAGTAGATTGAACTGTGGACCTTAATTCTATTTAGAAACCCTAACTTAACTCTGAAGGGGATACTGTCTCTTTTTAACTCCTGCTATAATTCTTTGTATGGAAGGTAGATAATACTAATAACATTGCCTGATTTCTCTGCATATTATTACATTTAACCCTTTGAGCCCTTGCTGCATATAATTTCAACTAGGCTGCTTCTTTCCCCCACTAAATTTAATCTCTCTGGCATTGAAGCATCTTGATGTTCAGTCATTAAGATCATTGGGTTTTGTTGGCAGCAAGAGCTTACTCTTATTTGTGACATCCTCAAAGGGTTAGTAAGACTTCTGTAGCTACCTACCTGTAAAGTAGCTCTTCTTTGACATTGAAAATCTTTGTATTTTAATCAGCGCCTTAATTTTTTTTGGCCGCTTTTCTAATGTCTTTTTTTTCAATTTAGACATTTTCTGTGTGAATGTGCCTTCTTGAACTTGCTTTAGTATATTCCTCTGCAAATACTGATCTGCATGCTTATTCTGATGACTTCTTTTCCAGCTCTTCTGTACCACTATTTTTTGTGATCTGTAAGTCCTGTGTTAATAAATAATTCTTTGGCATATTTTGAAAGTGTGGGGATGTGTGTAATTTGTATTTTTTTAGGGTTAGACCAAAGAAATACCTGGCTGGTATCAAGTTTAAAGCAGCAATATCCCTTGAGATTAGACCATTTTTCCCTTTTGTTTTGTTTCCTCAAACATATGTCTCCTAAAGAATACTGGTACATTTTAGCCTTTGCCCCTTATAAATAACATTGATGTATGTTCTTAATATGGCATTGGGTTTAGATATAACTATAGGGCTAGGGATGTAGTTCAGTGGTAGAGCACTTGCTTAGGCCCTGGGTTAGATTCCCAGCATTGGGGGCCAGTCATATAGATCATATATATATAGTATATATTATAAATATTTTATATTTATTTAATTATGTTTTACATGTTTTTTCATGTATCTTATATATCATACACACACATTAAAACTTGTTTTAAAAAGTTTAAACCTTACACTATATAATAGGGAAAGAGAAATTTTTCTTTACTACATGAAACTGGAGTATATTCTAGCAGAGCACCTGTCTACTAGGAGTTACATTGTGAGACAAAGGGAAGGTGAGAAAGAGAATGTAAGAATTAAGTGTTGGGAAAAAAGACACTGATGTTAAATAACTAGATATTTATAAGCTTAAATTAACTTTTTTTCTTCTTGTGATGGAGATCTATCGAAGGGCCTCACACATGCTAGATAAACACTCTACCACTAAGCTGCATCCTCAGCCCAACATAAGCTTGATTTAAAATCATCAAATGGTATTGAGATGGACTGAGTACCATAAATCTAAACAGGATTTCAATTGCCAATCTATGTACTAGAAATATTCATGGTTGATACAAGGAAGCCCTCAGAACTGAGTTTGATTCTTAAGTGTGAAACTAGGTACTTCACCCTCTAATGACAGGGCATTGTCTTTCTTTCCAACTTCAGAATATATTGTGAAGTGGGACCCTTTTTTCACTCATAGTACATCAAACAGATTTTTAAAACAACTTTAGGGAAGGGGCTGGAGATATAGTTCAGTTGGTAGAGTGCTTGCCTTACGTGCACAAGGCACCACCAAATCCTCAGCACCACCAAAAAAAAAAATTAGGGGATATATCAGACAAAGTAATCTTTAAGCTTTTTTCATTTTTAAGAAAATCATTTCTAGAAAGGCAAATGAAAGTTAGCAATGAATAGGATAAATAGAAAATTTTTCAGCATTTTAGGATATAATAATAGTGATAAACCTTGGGAATAGTATTGTTTTTCATGTCAGACACCCAAACCAAATAAAAACTTGGTCAAAAGAGTTATTTCAGTGGTTTAAACTCTTTATTCATGTGTTTTGAGGTTTTTAGTTCTTTGTTCTTTTTTAGAATTTGAAGAAGAAAGGAAATGAAACCACTGAAGATGAGGATTCTGAGTTGGATTTCTGAGAGATCATTGTCGTATCTGAAATATGCCACTTGAGAAAGACAAAAGTTGCTTGTTAGGCTTTAAATAAGAAAAGCTAGGCCTGCCATTGAAAATAGTGTTTCCAAGAGCAAGTTGAATAATACTTGGTTTCAAAAAACCTTGTATAAATGCATTATGTTTTAATTATTACATGATTAAAATTTGAAAGAAAATGATCTCTTTTTTTTTTAAGTTGTCAATGGACCTTTATTTTATTTATTGATACATGGTGCTGAGAATCAAACCCAGTGCCTCGCACATGCTAGGCAAGTGCTCTGCCACTGAGCCACAACCCAGTCCAGAAAATGACTTTAAGTGTAGTCTTCATCTATTGATGTAGGAGTTTCCCATGCCATGTACCAGATACCTATTTCAGGGTGGCTTTGAGGAATTTCTCTGTCAGTGGAATTCTCCAGTTTTAGGGTGGGTCATTTGGGACTGCTTCGTTTTAACTTCTTTCTGAGCAGAAGTAACTGACTATAACTGTGAAGCATACATTCACGCATTTAACAGTTAATTTTTCCTAAGTAGAATATTACTTTTAAGGGAGGCAGTTTTAATAATGTACTACAATGATGTAAAAATTTGGGGCAATTAAAAACTTGAAGAATTCTATACAGTGCCAAGTAAGATATGGTGGGTTAATGCTTGACTTCTGTATCAGTGCTTGAGAAATTATACAAATGTATTTATGTTCTGCAGTCACTTTATTGTTCATGTAAAATCCCTGATTTTTAGACATAGCAAGTGAACAGGAAGGAAACACAATATCAAAGAAATGTGTTCAATCCTAAAATAATTCAAAGAATGAAATTATTTTATTCTTTTTCTGAAATTTATTTGTTTTACTTGATCCAGTCTCATTATGTTGCCCAGGCTGGTCTTGAACTCCTAGGCTCAAATAGTCCTCAGTCTCCCAAGTAGCTGGTACTATAGGTGTGCACCATTGCAACTAGAGATATTTATTTATTCACTGCCATGCCGACG